TCTTAAGTAATACTTCCTTAGTTTTAACTAATTTTTTTAGGCTGCAGCCCTAATAACCTCTAGCTATCTAGTTTAGTTTATATTGTTTAACTCCTCTTCTAGCTCTTTAGTTATATTATCTAAAAAGTCGAATAGTTAGTTATACATAAGCTAGATATACAGGATCTAAAGCTTCTAATTCTCGCTTAGGAAGTTTGTAGCTTCTTTAAACTTCTTTAGCATTTAGGTAATTGCCCTAAAGTGCTGCTATTCTATAGCTGCTAGTTAAAGTTTCTTAAAATCTTTAAAGTCTGCCTCTATAGTATTGCTACAAGCAGAAGAGCTATTTGCGCTGCTAGTCGCCTTTAGCGCAATCTCTTGTTCTAGCTATTTATTAATATAAGGTTAGAGCTTTACAGCACGCTTACACATATTATATATAGAATTCTATTTTGTCCTAACATCTTGTATTATAGAAAAACATTCTCTTGCTAGTACGTCGCGCTAGGTTACAATAAAATACTTAAAGCGCTGTAGTAATTAATTAATTGCAATACAAATAGCCCAGAGCTTCCAGCTACTTAGTACGTAATAAATATATGTAATAATAAATAACATACTTTACAAAGCAAGTTAGGAATAGACATTTGTGTCTGGATTTTATTTATATATTGCTGTTGTAGCGTCTTACTGTTCTTAACCTCTACAGTAGCTAATAGCTTAAAGTAGTAAATAATATCTTAAACTACAAGATTAATAACATATGCAAAACAGGGAATTATATTCTCCTAAGCGTTCTAGGTAACGTTCTCTTCTAATAGTTTTTGCTAAATGCCTTAAGCTATTGTGCTATTATTACTTGCATTATTATATATAATAGCAAGGAGTTTCTGTGTTGTATTTATTTCTTTTAGGACTTATAGTACTTCTATTGCTATTAAATCTCTAGTATAGCTCCTGCGTATTAGTAGGAAATTAAGTAGCGTTTCCTTAAGCTGCTAGTCCTTATTAATATAGTATCTATTAATAGCTAAAAAGCTAAGATAATTTGCTGCAAACCACGCATTTAATGCAATAGAAACTTTTATTGCATTCCCAATATTATAGAGAATTACTACTTTAGTAGTGTTAAACTAATCTAAAAACGTTTCGCGGAATCTAGGACAGGTAATTATTAAAGAATTAGGGCAGAGGAAGCAAAAGAAGCGTTAGAATAATAGTTGCTTAACTATTTAAAAAGTCTAGTTATTGTTTATAATTACTTATATAAGCTTATTATGGAACGCGTACAGAAAGTAAGTAGAGTTTAAAGTAAGCTCTTCCTTTTGCTAAAACTAAGGTATATATGCCCTTTTATAAACAGGTAATTTAGTATACTTACAGGCTTAAGATTTAAAGTAGTTAAAAAAGTGCTTTATGCTAATTGCGTTTATACTTAGATACTATAGTATATAGCCGCAGTTAAAACAGTATACGTATAGGCAGCTATTTACAGCATCTAAAGCCTCCCTAAATTAAGCCTAAACAGAACTTCTGTAGAGAGTAGAGCTCTAATAGAAATTACTAGTATTAGGATTTTTAGCTTATGCAGTCTTATTCTACCACGCGTTTTAAACAGCAATAAGCTAACTTTCTGCCTCTAAGTTTTCAGCATTTAGGGGGGGGCGTTTAATAAAGGCAATTGTTTCTTTTATCCTAGACCTTAAAGTATGTAGGGCTAGTAGTTTAAGTTTATAGAAAGCTTCTAGGAAGTTTAAGTCTAAACCTGCTATATATAAAAAAGAGGACAATATTATAGTAATAAAAAAACGTAATAATTGGGCACAGCTTGTAAGTAGAATGTAGCCTGTAAGTAGAGCAGAATAACTAATAATTTGCAAAATTTACTACAATAGTATCTATTTAGTATTCTTTGTATTTATAAGTTAAACATTACATATTTATTCTAAATTAAGTTTAGTTTAAAAGGTGATTGTTATATTAGTGTAACACCTAACAGGATTTTTAATATAATATTTTATTATTATTAGCTATAATTATACGCTAATTAAACTGCAGTATCTACATATCCTACTTATATATTATTATTATTAGAAAACCTTTCCTATTTTAACTACTTATCCTCCTCTGTCTCAAGAGTTTCTTTATTATACTTATTTACTCCAGCCCTAAAGTAGTTTTTAAGCTCTAAATTATTATTATCTACCTCTTCCTTACACTTATTATTATTACGTCCTTTAATATATGGCTTGTTACTATATAGCGCAATATTATTGCTATTTTTTATAAAGTTAAAAATAAAGGCAGGCTCGCAGCAGCTAACAAAGTAAGTAAATATACGTAATAATAAGATATAATAAACTTATATCTACTTTTTGTTAGTTATTATCTTTAGTTCCTTAGGGGATAGCTTATTGCAGAATTTCTCCCACTCTTTTTTTACAGCCTTATTTTTAAAACTATTAGTATAAAGCTTTTTAAGCCCTTTATTATATATATCCTGCAGGATCTTTTTAAATGCGCTACTAGAACTATAGACGTGTTTTTTAAAGCAACTTTCTAGTATAGTAGAAGAGCTCTTCTCTTTATTTGCAAAGCCTATAACTTTTCTTAGGGTTGCTTTATGTTTCTTTATGTCAACTTTATGCTTAATACTATCCCACTTTTTGTAAGTAGCAGTTAGAGTTATTTCCAGCTACTTAGCTAAGTATTATAAGTAAAATAATATAATAAAAAGACGTAATTACTTACTACTTTTGCAGGAATTAAAGCGCACTTCTACAAGCTTTTTTTTTGCCTGTGCAAGTTACTATAGTTTTTTTTTTTTAGGCAGTAAATTGTGCTCTAGGTTCTTATTAAGTTTGCGCTTAAGTTAGTATTTTGCTGCGTAATTAGCTGCTTTAGCAGCTATTAATGCCTTTTTTTTTTTACTAGCCAAAGCAGCTTGAGTTTTCTGCGCAACAGTATAAGGATTATTACTTAGTAAACTTTTGTGCAGTACTTTAAAGTTAATAAAGTAACTTTTGCAAAACCCTGCTAAACTACGTTGCCCAAGAGCCTAAGTAATTTTATTATCCCTAAACGCGAAGCCCTAGTTATATTAGCATATAATATAATAAAAGGGCGTAATTATTACTTTGGTAAGTTTATACTACTTGTCGCTCTTAAAGTTTAGCAGAATTTCTGCCTGGGCAAATAGTACTAGCTAGTTAGGAAAGTTCTTAGCTTTTTGCTTAATAGCTTGCATAGTGTTAAGTATATTAAATATATGTAATTAAAAGTAGGTAGTGTATAGGCAGTTAGGAAACTAAGCTTAGTTTGTATACTAAGGGCAGGAGGCTGTGCGCACTAGCGCAGTTTAGAGCAATTACTTTTTCTTTTACTATTCTAGCCCCCCCTTTGTCGCATTATACTAATATTAGCTATTTTAGAAAGCGCATGTCTAATTGCATATGCCTGCAAATTATTATAATTATTTATTATAGAGTAGGCTGCATATTAATACAGGGAGCTAAATATAGCCTATGCGCACTAGCGCGGTTTAGAGCATTTACTTTTTCTTTTACTATCCCAGCCCCCCCTTTATCGCATTATACTAATATTAGCTATTTTTAAAAGAGCGCGTTAAGTTGCGTATACTCGCAAATTATTACAGTTTTTTATTACAAAGTAGGCTATTTATTAATATAAGGAGCTAATCGCGCTAGTAAACAACTAAACTTACTTTTACTTCCTTACTATAACTATAATCTCTTACTTATAAACCTAACTTTATACTTTTTAACCTTTTTATATTTACTCCCTTCTAATTCTGCGCAATATAAACTTCTTAACTACTACTAAACTACTACTCTAATAACTCTACTATACACATTAATTGCTCTACTATAGCCCGCACTTGCCCCCCTGCTAAAAAGCTAACACGCAATCTACGCAATACGCAACTAATGCTAAATAACCTACAATATACGCAAATAGGCGGAAAGGCCTCTTATAAGCAACTAGCTGCTAAAGCTGCGCGCAAAAAACTATCTGCCCTAGCAAAAATTAGGAAGAAGCGTTGCTTTAAGCCTAGCAGTATATTATTACAGCTATTTATTATATATTATTTTAATAGTACGCAGCAGTAGCTCTTAGACAGATTAAAAAATACTAAAAAAACACTAACTTACTCCTCCTCAAGATTCCCTTTTTACATTTGTGTTAAGAAATTACTAAAAACGTCTCTAGTAAATAGCAGTACTTCTGCTTTTAGAAAACTGCCCTACTTGCTATTTAAAAAGCTGCTAAAGCTTATATAGTTAGATATATAGAAAGTATACTACCCTAACTTATTTATTTACTATATAATAATTACTAACTGCTCTAAACTGCAACATGAACGCTATTTATGCAAAAAAAGTTACTATCTAATATAAAAATTTACAGTTAGCAAAGCGGTACTACAAAAGGTTGAACCCTTTAGTTATATAATTAATAAAAATTACTTTTTAAAATAATTTGTATAGCGCAGATAGCAAATAAAACTACTAGCAACCCTATTATTATTAATCTGTAATAAATAACTGTAATAACTACACCCTAACACTAGCTACCCTAACCCTAACTGATTTTTATACCCTAACCTAAAAATTACTATAACTAAAACCCAACCCTACCTAGTCTGTGCGACCCTACCCTTACCTAAAGTCTATACACCCTTAACTCAACCCTAACCCGTTTTTAGTATAAAAGTATTAGGTTTAGAGTAGGTTAGGGTTAAAATCTTATATAAAGCAACCCAACCCAAACCTAGCCTGAACCTATTTACCAGCCTAAACAGTAGTGCAAAGAATATAGTTTATTATAGCTAAACTGCGCGCAGGTGCGCAAAGAGGCTTATAACCTATAAAACTAAAAAAAAGTAATTGTATTAGATAATATTCTATGTAAGGGGAAACTATGTTTATATACAGAGGGGAGTAAAAACAGAGTAAGCTAGTCTGTTTATAGACTAGCGTGTCGGGCACATGATGAATCACGTGTTGGGAATCCAAACCAACAGCCGTCCGGGGCGACAGCGTTACATTGGTCCCGCTGGAGGAAGTGTACACGACGAACATGTTGGAGCCAGCCATGGCTTGCCCCTGACCGAGTGCAACCCATTCATAGCTGGTGGGCGCGGATATTTGAAAGAAGATGTCTCCACTTCCAGACGATGCAGTGCGCTCGGGGATGTTGAGCTTGAAGCAGACGTTAGTCGAGGGGCAGACGCTTGCCACCTGAGCCGAAGCGTAGGATGCTGATTGCTGTCAGTTGAGGAGATACTGGACGACTTCGTGGTACTCACCCAGTGCCAATAGGCCCAAAGCACGTAATGAGTTCGTACTGTCTCTCATGTTTGCGACGACCGTGTCGTTTCAGCGGCACCAGCTTTGCTATGTAAGAGGCGCTGGTTTGGCGGCTAAAGGGTGTCCGCAAGCGGAAGGGAGCTTGCTAGGGTTGTATATAAATACAGTCACTGAACGACGAAACAAAAGGGAGGTGTAGAAATAAAGACGCAAGCAACAAGGCAGAAGAAGAGGGAGGCGTTTCGAAATGGGCTGAAGTCAAATAATCCCTTGATGATTTGTCGAGGTGGACAATGGTTTAATAGTTGGAGGGACCAGGGACGGACGTGACAGCCGACTACAGGTTACAATATGCAGGGTACAGGGTAAACACCGCTCGAGCACGTCTGATGGCCATGTATACTGCAAAGTTTGCGCGCTAACTTCATAGTCAACCAAGATGTCCTTCTGTACTGGAGTATACTTGTCCGTATGCGGCGGTGCGGAGAGCCGTATTTGCGGGTGAGCTTCCGTCAAAGCTGCCAGCGCAAAAGGTACGCGTCACGCCGCCATCAGGCTTGAATATCTCAGGTCCGCAGCCTATGGGATCATTTCAAGGCTTATCGTGATACACGGTGTAATGTGAGGGGAACCAAAGCGGCTGTGCTTGGCATTGACGCGTAGTGGAGGCTGAGCGCGCGAACAAAGAAAAGCAGCCCCTGCTCGACGAATCATGACCACTGCATTTCGCAACGTGAACGGTCCCGAGACAGGGGACAGTAGATGGAGCATGTCCGCCCGAGATCCTGTGCGGGAGATGTTGAACAGGGAGATGTAAATCTGCGGAGTGGCCTGCGCTTCGAGGGCACACGTTTCACCTCTGTCCACGTTCCCTTGCATGGAGTTGTAATCACAACCCTTGACAATGCTCGCGCAGCATACACAGAATTTCCACATCGTTATATGGCTTGCTTGAGTGTGGGTTGGAAGAGGGTCACGACAGTCAACCAGTATTGGGTTGACTTTGCAATTACAACTCCACTTTCTATCAGGCTAGACTCAAGAGTACCCGTCAGGCTGGTCCCTTGAGGCGGAGGTCTTGGCCGGCCTTACAACCGGCCCTTCTTGCCTGGGAGCCTGCTGCATTCTCTCTACTGGTATTGAGGGAGCTGCAAGGAGTTAGACGAGGGCTTCTGACATGTACATCAGACCGCGTCACCTCTAAGCACAGCAGCATTATCGGTGCATCATCACAAGTTTCACCGACATCATACAATGCCAAGCGGCACGTGCAGGCAATGTCCGGAGGTCGGTCCGACGCATCACCTCTTTGAGCGTCTTTGTTGTAGTGAAAAAACCCACAAACAAGTTCTAGTCTCCCAAACCACCGAAAAGTAGAGCCAATCGGCCCGCTAGAGACGAGCTACACCCCATATTATCCCCATAATCGTATTCACGGTGGCGCTTCGCCTCAATGAGGGTCTGTAGTCCCTTGGGTGTACGGGGCACGCTACTTCACCACGGCAGCTCCGACCACTGGGCTCAGTAAATCCTCCGCGAGTGAAGGTCGTCCAAATAATGCACTGCCTCACTGAACTCGTCAGCATCAAAAACAATTCGCGACTGCAGACAAAAGGACGGACAGACTTTGTGTATCGGAGTGTGGCTGGTCCTGAACAACACAAGTATTGAGCAGTCACGAAGTTATGAATTGTGACGCTCTATCCAGCAGTCATAACAGAGCATAGACTAGTGATGTTCTCGATATTAATAGCCGGCCCAACCCCTTGGTCGTTTTCATTGTGGTCTGAGGAATCGTCCGTTTTCAGCGATGGTAGGGACTGCAAGATTACAGATCGAAAGATCGTCCAGATGAAGGTTTGATTTGGCTTGAGATGGACCGAGACCTGGTACAGGGAGAATTACTGAGTCAGTGCCTGTCCGCTGTTCAAGTCGCGGGTTGTTATGGATGGACTTCAACTGCGGCTTCCGCTTCTAATCACAACTGATCGAACCAGAAAAGCGCATTGCGAAGCCATCGTAATATACTCGCGCAGTAGAACGACTGATTTCAGGATGACCTTTAGTACCGCTTGCTGTGTCTTGATAGATATCCCACTCGAAGATAGGTAAGTGAATATCACGCGTACCAGATTCTTTCTCGCAGACTCAACATGCAAAGTTCTGTTCCGTATAGTATTTCGTCCCACCTTGCACTCTATTTCCTCAATTGACTCTTTCTCCATCATACTCGCAAACGCGGAGACACGCCCGGCACTCTAATGTGAAACATACACTGCCACAGAAATATCAAACGCACCCTGTCGACCGAGAGAAAAAGGGAAGTCAAATCCGAGGCGCACCAAGAGCTCAGCAGTACAAAAAAAGGTATAGCAGAGAATTGCTTGCTATATCCACCCCCCTTCATTCTAAGCAGTAAACCTAACCGCACGCCCGCCCTTCTCCGCCCTCGCCGCCTCAAACGCCCTCACAACAGCCGGAAACCACACATTCGCCATCTTGACATCCCCAGCGTCATTCGGATGCACGCCATCACGCAGATCCGCCGTCCCGCTGAACCCCGTATACTGATCGACGACCCAGATAGGCGATGCGGTGGTATTCAGGCCCTGGGCCCAAGGTATAATAGCTGTGTTAAGGGCCTGGATCTGAGGATTATAAGACGCTTGGCCCATGGGGATGATTTGCGCGACCTGGGGCGCCTATTTTAGCACTGAAGCGTTCAGAATATAGGATTGAGCGATAGCTGGCTAGACGGGATGGGTTGGGTTGCGGTTGAACGGGACGGGATGAGGACAGAGGGGTAAAGTAGCAAAACAGCGCCCAGCGAGAAAGGGAGATGGGTAAACGCACAACAATCTTCATCCCAGCATTATGCGCCCTCATCGTCGCGATTAACTTTGTAAACGCTCCGAGAATCTCCACGACAGACTTCTTCCCCCGAACGATATCATTCGTGCCCAAATGCATCGTAACCACATCCGCCGGATTCGTCTTCAGCCACCCATCAAGCTGATTTTTACTCGCTATATCGACGGCGAGAAAACCGCTGTGGCCCTCGTTATCGCGGTCGTATTTGGTGTCCTTGCAGCTATTCTCCGTTTTCCCGCTGCCGACGAAGTTTACGGCAGATGTCCCCCATTCTGTAGATTGGAGTTTATTCCAGAGTTTGGCGCGCCAGCAGATTATCTCTGTTATGCTGTCGCCGAAGGGCATGTAGCGGATTGTGCTGTTGGCAGTTTGCGCGCTGGTGGTTGCTGCCAAAGCGGTGAGTGTGAGATGCTTTAGGGATACCATGTCGTGGATGGCAAGGAACGCTAGGGCAATCCTTCCTATGGTTATAAAGTATTGATAAGAAAGGCGTACCCCGCGTTATTTTATCACCGCGAAGGAGGCTACGCTCCGTGTAGATGAGATATATCCCGGCAGCTGCATTTAGCCTCGTCAATTACCACTCTACGAAAGTGACGCGAGCATATCCCTGGCCTGATTGCCCTCTACTAGAGCCTTCATATCAATAAAGCAAATACTATAAGTTCGATACGATATCGCACTCAGAGCCTCCATATGACCATCATGGCAGAGGCTATGAAAACATATCGCAAGGATGAATCTTGCTGTTGATTGGAAAAACCTGAAAATTCTGTTAGCAAGGAATGCCAGGAATACCCGGGCAACACAATGACGCAGTAAGTTGCATTAATTGAACGAAATCTGACCTTTCCATCTTTTTCTCTCTCATCATCGTCAATACCTCTCATCATCGTCAATACCTCTCACCGTTTCTGCAACCCGCCAAAGACCTTACTCGCCGCCGAACTAACCTTCAGCACATCACGATACGTAAGACTGATCCTCGTACCCCTCACATTTCGCCCTCCCGCATCCTCAATAACCCCTGGTTCAGCAAGTAACCCCCAATTCGCAACCGTCTTCGCACTCAACCCCTCATCAACCTCGACCGACGCAATCCCATGGAGTAAATCGCGATACGCAACGCCAGTAGTAATAAGTAATGAGCGCGGTTCCTGGAAAATACGGGTGGGAATCGTATACCCCATCGTCGACGTCAAACCCTCATCCAGGCTACCTTCGCTGTCCTTGCAATCCGCAGGTTCGCTCGTGGTAGTCCCATCGTCTTCGTTCCCGCTCGCTTTCGAACTAACTTCCAGACACACCGCGCCACCCAGACTCACAGTCGCTACAACAGGCGCATACGCACCGCCATCCTCATGCGGCATAATTCCCTCACCCGGCCTATACTCGTTGATCAACACATGATTCGGCTGCCGATGCGGCGTCCCCTCGAAAACCCCCCGCTCCTTGAAGCGCTGGAAAACAGGGTGGGTGAGATAGGCTGGTAGGGGCGCGGCGAGGAGCGTGTTGTTTTTGGTCAGAGTGGAGGGGTGGGCTTGTAGGCGTCGGCGGGTGAGGTGTGTCCAGCGCTGGGCGGGGATCTGGGGTGTGTTGGAGGTAGGAAATGGAGGGTGGAAATGTGTTGGGTTACCTTTTGCAAAATCGAAGCTTCTTCTTCTACCGAGATGAAATTGGGAATGTAGTAGAAATCTGGCGGAAGTCCCGCTATACGAAACGCTGCTAACGACGAGCTCATTTGGCTGGAGGAGGCGTCTGTGTGTGTCATTGCATCGAAATCAATAATCTACCAGTTTGGTGCCAAGTTTGCTTTAGATCGATTACTGCGGGGGATGTAGTGATGGTGTTCGTGTGGGGTAGAGCTTTGGAGACGCGAGGTAGATTAGTAAGCTAGTCGCGTTCTCACGTGCTCTGGAAGTGCATCCGCATCAGTCTGCTGATATAGTTTTGTCACGGAGGTATGAATGCTTTGAGATACCATAATTGCGAATTGCTTGTATGTAGCCCATATATATTGTATGATGCTGGCAATATGCCGTCTAAATATCTTCCAGAGGTAGAGGAAAACCTCACTCAAACTATATACCTCCAGAAACCGACCAACTCCGTCCGATGCATGCCTTCAGATGTAAAGAAACTTCCTGCTGTGTATGAACATAGTGGATGTATAAAAAAGACGCTGTTGTGAGTCTCGTGGCCACCTTCAAAATACAAGTCGAACTGCAACGGAATGGCAGAACGTCGCAGCCATGGCCCGTAATGCGACGCAAATTACTGTAGCACATCCATCGTACCGTAGTCTGTTCAAAAGGACTGTTAATAGAGCCGATTTGAGGCATAAATGAGAAAACGATTCACAACCAAGAGTGTACCCGACGAATGACGCAGGAAAAAGAACCGGAGAGCACGCGTTCACATCACAACGCAGCCACCAGGTCCACTTCTCGCACGTCGACGGCGCCCAATACCGCCAGTAACACCCGCGCCGCCCTCTTCTTCGTCAGCATGCATGAGCTGGGCTTCGCGAGCTCTCCTTCGGCGTCGACGAGCACCAGCGCCACCCACGCCCGCCTCTTCATTCAGCATCATCCAATCGGCCCACTTGCGCTCTAGACGAGCAGCCGCAGCAAAGTCGCCTCTCAGGACGCGCTTGGTGTGCTCTTCAACAGTGGGCTGCCAATTGTAGAAGCATTTCAGACCGATGATCTCGCGCGGGTAGGTGGCGGCTTTGGAAACCGAGTTGGGAGACGGGCGAGTGATCTCTGCGTTTCTGGAGAGTACTTCGCGGACGCCGGTCCAGGTGACGTTGGCGCAATCATATGCCACAATCCGCAGACCCACGTCCGGTCGCTCGGAACTAGTGAGCGGTCGCGCGGCTCGATTGCGGTTGCGCATGCTTGCTGCAGCCTCGGTAAGGACGAGATCGGAGATGCGTGTGTTGTCCATTTCCAGGGAGGACAGCTTGGAGCAAGCCTTCAAGACTGGGAGCATGCCAGCATCGCCCAGGTTCTCGCAGTAGGAGATGCACAAATGCTTTAGGTGCGGAGCGCACGGGGATTCGGCGAGCGTCTTCAATACATGGTTCGTGAGACCGTCAAGCTCTTCGATGTCCAAGTGAGTGAGCACTGGAAGCGTAGGGAGTAGAGTTGTAAGCGCATCGTCTGTTAGACCGCCACATTTGGAGACTTGTAGACCCTCGAGAAACGGGACATTGTGGACTAAAGACTTGACTCCAGCATCGGTGATGCTGCGGCAGCGGGTCAGATCTAGGTGCTTTAGCTTGCGGGGCGGAACGATTGGCCGATCGGTAAGGATGTCGACCTCTTCATCTACGCCCTCGATGAGAGTAGCCAAGGAATCGTCATCAAGGCTGTCACAATTTGTCAACACCAGTCCTTCGAGCGTGTTGCGCTTGAAGAGCTCAGCCATTAGATCCGTGTCATCCCAGCCTCGTACCTCGCCAGCTCTCAAGTCTCGCAGCTTCGGGCAGCCCTCAACAATCTTTTTCAAGCCGCGATTGTCGATGTTATTGCACCACGAGATGTTGAGCACTTCGACTCTGGGACAATGCGACGCGAGAATCTTCATTGCCGCATTCGTTGCACCAGAAAGACCAGAGAGGTTGACGTGGACTAGGCGGCTGTTCTGTAATAGCAAGCAGTGGAGGGAAGTTCGGTCGATTCGGCACCCCTCTAGTGAGAAGTTCTCCAGATTTCGGCAAGACTCAATGAAGCCGTTCTTGTTCCACTGCTCCCTCAATTGCACACAGCCTCTCAAGTTCAGGTCCTTCACAAACGGACCCGCTGATGTGATGATGTTGACCAGCGCATTGGAGGTAATGTCGCGGTAGAAACCGCTTGTGTCCAAGTTGCTCCAGAGCTGGCCATCGAAGCACATGGCACGCCACGACTTGGATACCCGGGAGCATCGAACGATCTCCTTGGGTGGTAGGTATCGGAGGATTTGCATGCGGATCTCGGTCGGCATCTCCCCCCAGAAGCTGAAGTTTGGCCGTTTCTGAAGCTTATTCTTGATGGGCCGCGCAAAGTAGTCAGCCTCAGCCTCGACGCCCTCCCTAGACAGTGGTCGTCGAGCCGAAGGTAACGGCACAGACGAAGGGATGTCGGGGCTCCGCATTCGTAGACGAGTTCTCTCTTCGAACAGCGGGAACGGACTGCAAGGTGGGCTGTTGGCGACCGATGTAGGGGCTGTGGAGTAGCCATTCGACAACTCCGAGGAGTAGGAGCTGGCGAACGAATTCCCGTATGGCGAGCCTGGCGATGCCAGAGACACGCAAGACATGGATGCCTTTCCACCACTCCTCAGGCTTTGTGAACGAGGCCTGCTGCTGAGGCCAGCCAGACTCGGGGAAGAGCCCATCCGCTGTAGTCCATGCAGGAGCCGCTGCCTCCCTTTCATCTTTGGTTGTTCAATCATGATGGCTTCGCTAGGGGGGGTTCCCGGGGTGGAAGGCATCTCGTTGTGCTCGACGACAATCGAGTCAATCGATAACGGCTCCATGGTGAAGCGTGAGGGTAGGATATGCGATCTCGGGGATAAGCGATTCGGGGCGGGGAAGGAACGACCTGTGGATGTCGGAACGATGGAGGAGGTCTTGGGTTCGTCAACAGGATGAATTGACAACAGCAGAACCTAGATACGCTCTCTACCTCTGCCAGCGAAGAAGAAAAGAAACGCGAGCGAGCTGGAGCGGACCTGGTGGTTGGGTGAGCGGTTTTCGACGGCGGAATGGCGGAATGGCGCCAGTGCTAGAAAGCGGGGAGATGGCCCGTGTACGCGAAACAGAGAACCATCCGTTAACGCTTCGGTCAACAGTCTTCAGCCGTCAGCATGGAGGAGCCGGGAAGCATCCGTGGCAGATGTTCTAGTCACTGGTAGCGGTAGAAACGAAACGACGTCGATACGTGCAGTGCAGTGCAGCCCCAGCTAACATTCATAGTGCAGCTGCGGAGGTCTTATCGCACCCCCGGTTATCGATTACAGCGGCAGGGGCGATTGCGCCGTGGCCACGTGCCCCTCCGACTGGGGGGCATCAATCATCCGCACCATCTTTCTGTACTGTATCCATTTCCCTTACGAGGCATCAGTCGCTTGACCACTGAAACAACGGCGCGTGAGGCCTTGCCTGTCCCCCCGAGAAAGGAGTACAACCCACAATACCAGCTACTCGTCGAGGAGCTGGCGAGGCGACACTTTCGGTCGGTTCTCCACTGCACTCCACACCACTCTCAGCTGGCGTTATGCAGGGTCAACAATCAGCACCCTTTTTCTGTTTAGGCGTAGTCGAAATGCGCTGCAAGTGGCAACCTGCCGGAATCCCGCCAATCTAGAGAACTTCTAGAGCGTCTCGCTCGGAAACACCTGGAAAACAGGAAGAGTCGTCCAGGCCCAGCGGCACAAAGGCCCAATTTCCGGGCTGAACAAATGTCGAGTCTGCGCTTCCAGACTACAGGATGAGAAAGTATACAGCATTTCGATGCGTGCGGAAAGCTCTCAGGTCTTGAGACATGTGTTGCGCTGCAGCCCTCGATCATAGCATGCAACTACAACACGGAGAACATGACCGTGTGGCGCGATAATAGCAGCATATCACGATTCAGACGTAAGCACAAGACACTCCCGCGGGTCAGATGCAGAGCACGCATGCTCGTTGGTGTGACAAGCATAGAAGCTACCAAACACCTTGGATCATGCGACAAAGGGTGACTGTACTGAACTGGAGAATTGGGTTTTCGCAATTACCCCACAGTGGAGCTGTTCTCGAGAAAGTGGGGTGAGGTCTACATGGAGTGGATCACATGCTACCTTTGTTGTAGGACCTCAGCAGTTGTAGTAGCTATGACGAGAACATCACTATTCAAGCGCCAGAGCACATCGTGATACCTTGAGCAAAGCAGATCCTACGACTTGACCGCCTCACCCTTCAAATGCCCGACAAACCTCGCATGTACCCCCCTCCAGTTCTCCTCACACTTCCCCTTGACAGTGCCCACCAACATCCTATTCGCCTTGATCTCAACATCCTCCACTAAACTCCACTCTCCCCTCTCACTCTCAGCCACACCACCAACATCCTCCTGCGCCAGCGTCTCCGTCTTCAATAGCCGCCACGTCGTCCTCTGCACGAGTCCCAGCGGCGCCTTGATAGCCCACAAGATGCCGTCGTCTGTATCTGTAATGTCTGCTTCAAAAGCTACCGTGGTGTCCCAGAGGCCTTTTGGCAACGTGTGCATGTGGTCGGTGACTTTGTAGCGCTTTGCATTTGGGTTCGCGGGGTCCGCGGGCAGGGTTTCGTAGTGTGCCAGTTCGGGGTCGAGGCGGATCAGGAGGTCGTGGTTGTGGAGGTGCGAGAGGGCGTGTTGGAATTCTGTTCCGCGTGGGAGGAGGGTTACGTGGTGGAGATTCGTGGTTGTGTTGAATGCTAGCGATGTTAGTTGGTACTGTGATTATGAGGTGGAGGCGTTGGACACGTACAGAACATGGCTGCGAATTAGATTCTTGTCTATCTGTTTTGTTTAGTGGTGTCTGTGTAAGTGTGAAGTATTATAGAGTTCAAGGCGTGTTCGGCGAGCGGGAGTACTAGCATCGCATCTCCTCCAGGCACAAGGGTTTCATAACATCAAGCCTTGTCTCAGCTTCGATGATTACAGCTACTGAGAAGCGACGATTGTATCTAGGCTTGTAATGAACGCGTTAGATGAGACCTATAATTATCGCACGGTGTAATTGGACTGATGGTACAGTACAGCCTCGCTGTTTGATGAGGAGGTTCGCGTGCGCGTCAACCGAAGTATGACGTCGCGCGTAGGTTCATTCCACCACACCTGTTGTTGGCTCATATACGCCCATTTGCTCTGCCATCCACTCGACAAAATTCAAGTGCAACTACGATGGCTACTCAACAGACTCCTATGGGTCTGGTTATCGCGCAAACCATCGGCATCACAGCGAGCTTGTTCGTGCTCGGTGAGTCTGACTAGAGCACGCGTGAAGCATATAGAAGGGCTTGAGCGATCTGAACCGTATTGTGCACCCTTAGACGACGAAAAGCTGACATGCTTCTTATCAAGGTGGGAATGTCGGTCTTTCAGTCGTCTCTGTCCCCGCCGTGATGCTGGCCCCAGCTCCGCTCGCTGCAAAGCAGTGGTACGACGTCTACATGCGGAGCGGCGCAATCGCCCGTCCTCTGGCCATCCTCAGCGCAGTTGCTACCGCCTACGTTGCCTATCACCGTATGTAGACCCTACGTACATCCTATATGCTTCAGGACCGGTTCTCTCTAACCGTCTGTAGAGGACCCCAGCTCCACGCCCTTCAAGCTCAACATGGCTGCCACCATTCTGCTCCCCAGCATCGTGCCATTCACGCTCGTCTTCATTGCACCCACGAACAACAAGCTCCTCGCCAAAAAGGACCAGCTTGCGTCGGCGTCGTTAGATGATAAGGCTATCGAGGCGGGCGTTGCGCAGGGCGAGACGGTGAATGCGCTCCTTGACCGATGGGCTATGCTGAACTTGGCGCGCGCGGCGCTCGTAGGTGCTGGGGCATTGTGTGCTGTGCTCGCTGCGCTGAATAAGAGGGAGGTGGTTGGGTTCAACACAGTTAGGCTTGCGTCTGGGGCAAACAGGATGGGCTAAGAATGCAGCGAGCGTCCCTCACAGCCTCAGCCGGGTGGATGGTGCGTCGTCTGGGCATGCGACTTCCTGCTGATAGATTGAAGCCTAGCTAGGTTGAAGATGCGTCGATACACAACCAAGAGGAGCTCGGAAAGATATGCATTGCTGTCTGGGCCATCGAAGCGGGTGCTGATTATCCGTCTTCGGATCGGTACACAGGTGCGGCCCGTTGACTGACAGGGGACAGACGAATTAGCTTAGCCTGTAGTGCACCTCCCAACCGCTTCTATGATTCCTTTGTCCCTAATCTACAGGTTATCGCTAGTCTCGACTCGTACATATTCACCTGCGGTATTGCGTTTGTGTCTTCCACAAAAGCAATTCTGGTGGTGATACCGTGCTGCAGCAGGTGGCTGGGCAACGGCACCTCAGCCTCCACGAACAGGTTATCTGGTAACACAAGCTTGCCCCGCTACACAACCCTTAGTCTTCTTTTTTCTCCACATTACCTTTACTCTCATCCATATCTCTACATCATCCGCACTAGTTATAGTTCCTCCATCCCCGTCAGATCCTACTCCAAGTACTTTTCCAGAACCATTAATAGCTCAATTAGGGCGTAGGCGCTTGGGAATCCTCTGTCCCTCCGAATCCTATTCGCACCGCCCTCTACCCACACCGTTTTGCTGTCTAGCGTTCCTGAAAGCATGCCTATCGCCGCGAACGCAAATCTCCACCATTGGGTGAAACAGCACAACAGACCCCATCGCGAAGAAAGTATGCCAGTCCCGCCGGACAAATGCGACTTACCTGGCTTCCCAGGCGTCACCGCAGAGCAGCCAAAGGTCTACTCTAGAAAGCTCTGGCTTGTCTCAGAGAACGACCGTCGGATCAAGCCGAAGTTCCTATCAACTCATCCTCAAGTGCTCTTCAAACTCACAGAGAAGGTCGTCAACAAGCTTGCTACTAATCACGATGCTTTGCACATGGCCCTAGCTGAGCTTTACAACAACGCGTCCGACAGGGAGAAGGGCAAAAGCAACTTTCTCGCTCTAGAGGCGGAGCAAATTCTCACCCACGAAGGCTATGGTAAATATGTCTGGGGCGTAGCGCCCGAGACCCAGGCGCTGTTGGGTAACGCAGAGCAATCAAATCCGAACTTGGACCCGGTCTTGGAGGCGGAGCTGAAGCCGAAGTGGTCTACTTTTGATGAGGCTGGAGTGCTCACTCCTAACGACTACGAAGAGTATGCTTGAAGACGCTCCCCTTCATCTGGTTGCGCAGCGTTGCTGACCCCCACAGGATTACGCTGAATCTTCGACATTGGATGGCCGCCCGAATTCACGCCAAGATCAATGCCCCTTCCAAGAAGACACCTGTCCGGGCTAGTGCGAAGAAAGCGCGAGGTCGACGAGGCCAATTGTCTACACCACCTTCATCCCAACAGCGAGCGAGGGCTAATGGCAGCCGGACTGATCGAATGGTAGTAGGCAGTGTTGCTCCTGGGGCAGCAGCTAATGGAGGACACGACCCCATGGAGTTCGTTCAAACCCCCCAGCGATCTCGAAATGGGGCACTCATTCGCCCTAGTGCGAGAGTGAGGGCTCAACAGAATAGAGACCAAGTCTCGACGCCAAGCAGACTGAGAGAGGGGACGAATCTCGGCCAGGCTGACCACTTGTGGGCAGACATTTTCTCTCCTGTGAGAGAGATAGCAGCTGCTCGAGGAGATGACTCTATAGAAGATATTCAAGCACCACAACAACCTCCAAACGATGCCACCATTGCGTTTCCCATGGGCGAAGAAGCGGCTAGCGACTTGGTAGACCCAACAGAACTCTTCCTAACGCTGCAACAACCTGCCAGCGATGTCCCTCATTCATCCGGCGATTCTCTATACGGGTCCGACCGTGATCCTGATCGGTCAGGACCACCGGTCCCCTCCACGGAACCTACAACGCCGGATACCGCCTATCACTCGGATGCCGACACTGTTAGTCAGCAGGTCCATCGAGAGGCTACAGCCATGAGATTTGGCCAGTCCCCACCAACCGCCCGCCCCACTAGAGCGCTGATTAAAAATCAACGCAAGCTGAAACGATGCCTGGAACGAGTGATTACTAGCAGTCCTCCGAATTACAATCTAGTCCTCCAAGAGCTGAAGCAGAGCGTACAAGGCGCCTACGAGGAAAGCGCATATTACAAGCAAGAGAATGAGTTATACCTTGAGTTTGAGGAGTTAGGACGAGCATTTGATTACTGGACCACGTTGATCGATGAACTCGTAACGAAACGCGCCGGCTTTAATGGTGTACCGTGCATGTCGTTCTTTACATCCGACTACTTGTATGAAGATCGCCTCCGCGGTTTGCAGCACTTGAGAGAACTCCGTCTCTGGCGCAAGGAAAAGGCAGACACAACGAACTGCAATGGCGAGTTTGATGTCGACATTTTGGTAATCGACATCGCGACGATGATCGAAGGTCTTCAAGGTACCGAGCATCGTTCCTACCCCCCTGAGGAACTAGTCCGGCATTTGAAGACCTTTAATCGACCGCTCTTTGAATGCTTTGGATTTACAGCTAGGTAGGGAGGCAGCAAGGGCATTGGGCTTCGACTTGCCAGCCCATGAGGATCTGGTCTGAGCCACACAGTTTCTGGTGTACGTTGTTGGTATCGTATTACTTGATCAAGCCGAGATGCAGATCAATATGTGGCCGATGACATTCAGGCATCTAGATGTTAATATCCGCGAAGTATGAGATTTCGCACACAAGGCTTTACGTGACGTGCATATACACATATACCATCAAGATGCAAATAAATCAGTCGCCGCTAGGGAGTCATGTTAGATACCAAACACAAGCTTGGTTCTCAACCAAAGAATCAATCACCCTCCACACCCACCACATCCTCCATCACCCCCTCCGTCGCCTCCTCCATCACCACTTGTACACGTCCCACACCCACCACTCACGTCTCCATGCCCACCACAACTCGCTTTGCATCCTGGTGTCCCATCACCGCCCGCACACGCACCCAGACTCGTACTCCCTGCACATGTAGCCGCAACACATCCTCCTCCTCCACCACATCCGCCCCCACCATTCCCGTTGTTATGCACCACGCTCGGATCGGCATAGTACGGAACATACATGGGCATAGGGTAATACATAGGATACCCATACGCGCCATATAGATACGCGTCATTGTTACGAGACGGCGTCTGCTCAGACTTCTTCTGCTTCTGATAGCGCTTACAAACTTTAGCATACTGCAAGTCCAACTCCTCCAGTTCCCTCCTCCTTTGCGCGGCTGTTCTCTCCGTGTCGAGGACGAGCGCGTTGTGTGCGCTTACGTGCGGGCCGGCATGCGGGTCCTTTGTGAAACCCTTTTCCTCCAGTTTGTCGACGCTGAGCGAGGCGCGGCGCGAACTGAATTTGTTGAGGAAGTTGGAGCGCAGCGGCTCGCGCGTGCATTCGCAGTACCAGCAGGAGCATTCTGAGTAGGGTTGACCGTATTTTTTCTCGTAGGCTTGCGAGGTGTATTGGAAGGCGGTGTGGAGGGTGCCTTCGGGGATCTTGTCGTCGTGGTTGAGAAACTTTTTCGTCTCGGCGAGAGTGTAGCGGTAGTAGACTTGTGGGGTGAGTTGGTGCGTGTGCTGGATGAGAGGTTAGTGTGAGTTAACATTTTTGTTCCTTTGAGGACGTACCCATGCTAAATCGACGTCCAGGGTTGGCACAACAGTTTTCTTTGGCGAGTCGGCTGCGAGGAGTACGAATCGATGGTACTTGACAATGAGGCGCTGCACGGTCGACATGAGGCTCGGACTGTGCAACCAGTCCAACTTCCTCATCTTCTGCACAAAGGTTCCTTGTCGCAAGACTGCGCCCGCTAGATCAATGCCAAATATACTAGAGTTATCCCAATAGTGGCTCAGCATCTTCCTGACCGCTATCCGGCTACCCTTGGCAACGAACACGGGATCTTTCTGCGACGCATTTACCTTGCGAATGTCGTATTCTGACTTCATCAGCTCCTGAAACATATTTTTGAGTCTATCGACACTGAGTATCCTTATGTCATTGCGAAGAAAGGCGGGTCGGAATTCAGGACATGTCAGGACGACGCGGTTAGGGAAGAAGGCGTCGTGGGTCCCGATATTTTTGCCCTTTGTCGTGCATTGTGGCGAGCCCCAGATGTTCAAGATTGTCCCGGGAAGAGGTCGCTGTTTATCGAGGAGGTCAAAGGCATCGTTCATAAATTTGCCCACGCGCATCCGCTCGTGCGTGAAGGTGAACCCGCATGCAGAGCAGTCTTCTTCAAAAGCTTGTCCAGCAAAGCCAGTGTCAGAGGTGAGGTACCCTTCCATAGTTTCTCGTCCAGAGACGCTGGGAGGCCGGGTCCAGGGTACTGTAACCACAGCGGTGCACTGCGGACAGGTGATCTTCTTCAGTCCTTCATCCATCAGCGGATCCCAGGGATGTCCTGTGGTTTTTTCGAACTCGGATGTGTCCTTCCGGCTATACTCAAAAGTATCGTTATCAATCGACTGGTAGATAGACTGCCAGGGGAAATGTGTGCGCCACAGTGCATGTCTAGTGTGCCGGATACAATCTTCGAGGTAGATCCGAGGGTTCAGCATGTGCGCATGCCAGACCATGAAGACATCTAATGGAGGCAGAGGATAATCTTTTCTTTGTTCAAGACCAAGACCTTCGGTCGGAAATCTGTCAACTAAGACTGTCCAACTGTATGTTTCCGACGAATCAAATGCACGCGTTGTGATATTAGACGACCAGATGCTTGAGCGTAACGGATGAAAGGCATGCAATGCGTTCCACCATGCTTCATACCTATCAACCGCTTTTGCAACGAATATTGTCCATTTCTTGTCCCGGATACGCTCCGCATGGGCTGCATCCTGGTTTTCTGTGTGTTCTGCGGCATGCGCCTCGACAGCTGCTCTCGCCGGATCTTGGGTGTGAGACCCTCCTTGTTGTTGGCTCTCGTCCGGTGGTGGTAGCTTGCTATCCGCTGTTTTCTCCGTACTGATCCCGAATAGGCCGTCATGGTTGCCAACGTCATGCCTCAGTTTGGCGAACGCGTGTAGTAGCTTCAAGTGCGCAATGCACTCAGCAGGAGTTGGAATTTCTAGCGGGCTGAACGTGAAATCCAGATCTTCGATGGCGGGAATGCTCGTTGTTGGTGCTCCTGCCGTGTCGACATTAGAAGACGATGCGGGGACGGATGGTGGTTGGGAACTGTATGGCGGCGGCTCAGCGTAGACAGGGTCAAAGGTCTTCATCGATACCCGGCGCATATGATTCTTCGTCTTTTCTGCGGCGGTCCTTTTGGCTTTCTTGTCCGCCATCTTGGTGTAACTAGGCAACAGATCATATACAGCGGAGATGGGAGGTGGCTTATCCCAAGAGAATTTTCCAAAAGTGCCTACGCCCAAGTTGAGCTATCGCTGGTTCTGTGAAGATACTTTGGGTGTGGTCTATCGGTCTTAAAGAACACTTCGAGTTCGCTTAACAATACCAGATCCAGGTACGCGGTGGATACAAGGCTGCCTAGTCTACCTAGGTAACTATATAGGCTTAATCCGCGGTCTTGGAAATTTCGAAGAGGCTGAGCTAGAATGCATGACCAATCGCTGCTGCATCTTTGCGCATGCAACGCTACATTCGCTCACCGGGACGTGGCGCATGCTAGCTAGTGTGCAGGAACTAGCCCAACTTGGTAGATAATATGAGGTGTTCTGCAGAAGAGAAGGCGGTGCGCATGTTGTTACGCATTGTATTGTTGTGGTGTGGAGAAGGGTGCGGTGGCAGATTGGGAGCCGATGCCTCGGTAAGAATTTTGCGTCTATTCATCCGTACCCCGCTGCATTACTCGAATCTCAGCCTCGCCATATCACACCACATATTGTAGAGAGCGTATACAGTTATTTGTCACATACGACGGAGTCCAGAAATATAGGGAAACAACAAAAGAATCGCATAGGTTTAAGATGAGTACTCACAAATTCAACTTGTTCGTTCTCAGTTAACCCTACGTTGGTTTCACTCGTATAAACAACTACAGTATTGCCTTGGAAAGAAATAGTTATGCTCGATATACTTTCATCTGAATGGTCACGGACTTTCCTCCATGTCTTTGGGTAACTGACCAGCCTTGGTGGCTATTGTCCTTCACGTGTTTCTCCACCAATGCTCACCCTCCGTCTTGCTTTAGCCTATAACGAAAACGCATTTTAAGGTTTTTTTTCTCTCAAACAATGGGTTAGAGAGTACATCTCCTGTGGCTACCGGCTTCTCGAGTTTATGATGGTTTCTTCATAAGTCCACAGTTCAGGCAATTTCCCCCCACAGGATCGGCATCAAGCCTTGCTTTCTTCGGCTTAGTGTCAGACTAGTCTAAAGTCGCTTCCGGTGATTTCAAGCTCTTAGGGCTGCTCCTATAACCTTGGAAACTACCCATAACCAGTCATATCTCGCTGTTCCTACTTGGAAAAGTACTAGGTAAGCCCTGCGTAAGTTTACAACAGTAGAGAGGAGGAGCCTCTTTCTCTGTGTCTGACACCGATGAGTTCAAGAGGACGTAGATGTACTAGGGGTGCGCACTCGCGTACAGATACCAGCCAAGACCGCAAGTAAAACATGCAGCGTTTCCACCACCGAAACAAATGTGTAGCAGAAGGGGTTTTCCTCCAACCTCAAGTCGCAGATCAAGCTTCGACGCCTGAGCTTGAATGATACTTAGCCTTGACTGCCTGACCAGTTTTCAACCTTTCACGTTTACTTCCCCAACATCGTCAAAACCTACGACCGAACCGCGGAATTAGCCCAATTTTGTATATTTACAATTATCGTTGTTTTTGCTTTTATACCAACAACATGTTCATAGATACTGCGACCGCAAACAACGAGTCGTCAAGACGCCAAATCGTAAACCCATCACGCACCTCCCCGTATGATGACTCGTCGACGCCACTTCTGGAGACCTTCGTCGGACAAGACGCGCCACCAAGCTATCTAGAAGCAACGACTCCGGGTCTATACACGAGCAGACTCAGTGGAGAAGAGGGCGCAAGACTACTTCCGGTGGATGGGCGAGAGGCGCAAGATGCAAGACTGAAAGAGGACAAATACAAAAGAAAGACTTTGAGGCAGCAATGCGCTAACAGAAAAAACTTAAAGTGGTTTGCTGCGGTATTATTTGCGGTAGTACTGGTCGCAATCCTAGCTGTGCTGTTAGCGGGAGTGGCGGCACGGTCGGACAAGCAGGTGAGCAAACCAGCGCTGAAAGTAGGCTGTATACTGACGTGGAACAGAAGACAGTTAGTACTCCTCCATCTTCAGCTCAATCAGCTGGGGCTGGGACATCGTCACCGAATGCCGATGAATCATCCCATCCGGATGGCTTCATCGATGACGACTCCGATAAACCGCACCTTGTGGCTGTTCCGTGGCCGTCGCAGCTCGCAACTCCAGCGCGACCTCCGCAGTCTACACAATCTAAGCAAGTGTTCCCTATTCGATGGCCATCTCGATGCGGGAAGGAATACAATGTCAAGACGGAAGAATACGACTTTGGCAAGACCAAAGAACTCAACATACAAGAAGCGGTACACCAGCTGGACGGGTATTACAAGCGGGTGGCGGGTTGGATTCATGTGACGCAAGCACACGATGACCAAGCGCCTGGTACCATTCAAGCAAAGCTGTCGTATGCTGTGTCGCCGTCCGTAGACGTCAACAGCATCAGACACACTTCAACGGCCACTGGACTGACGATTGGCGACCCCTCATTTCCTGATGGGTTTGATGGAGTGAGATCTGGTACCGCGTGTCTTGGTATGTCAATGGTTGTATATATGGGTGTTGGGGCAACGCTAGAAACCCTGAACATAGCGTCTACCCATATGGGTATGCAAATCCACAATGGCGTCAACCTCACCGTCACGGGATCGACGTCGATATCCCTCACTACCGGTACCCTGGACTCCGCAGCCTTGGATTCTCGAGAGATCCATCTGAAGACGATATCCGGTTCCATTAGTGGAAAGTACTCTCTCTATGACCTAGTGTCGGTCAAGACGATAAGTGGCTCTGTGAACATCAACATTGAGCCTAAAGAGGCGGTACAAAGAAGTACAAAACCAGCCGTCTTTATGATCGATGCGTTATCAGCTAGTATTCGAGCAGACGTTAAGCGGAAGCACATCCCAGAGCGCGATTACCAGACGTATATCAATACGACTGTCGGCTCCGTCGATGGAACTTTCATCCACGGTTCCAAGACCGAGATCACTTCAGTCGCTGGATTGGTAACAGCAGATCTCCTACCATTCAAGTCTGGCAACTATCAATCGAAGATCTACACGCACACTCATTCCGGGCAAACGAGCCTTACTGTTCGCAGTCCGTACAAGGCAAAAAATGTTGCTATGGCAGGACTTTTAAGCGCTCACAAGACTACATCTGGTGGCATGAACGTTACTTACCCAGAGGAGTGGGTAGGATATGTTGATGGTACCTCGCTGAGTGGTGCTTTGCATCTCCAAGGGAAAGACCTAGAACTGGTCAAAGAAAGCAGTGAGCCGGGGAAGAACCATGTCGAAGCGAAGAAAGGAGGTGGTGGAAGTACTTTGAAATTTGACACGGTTAGCGGCGGATGTGAGATCATAGTCGGAAAGTTGTGAGTAGGATTCACAAAGAAAGTCAATAGGACATATTATGAGGAAAGACGGCGTTCAAGGTGTTCGAAGAGTATGTTTGTATGGAATCTTGATATTGGCAGCCGAGGGATGGATGCGCCTTGTAGTCGATACAGTAGTATGGTACTAAGCGTCGCACAATCATTCTCTTAACTACAAAAAATATCCTTTCAACTTACATTCATTCTCCTCCGATACGATCCTTCCAAAGTTGGTTGCAGTACTTTTTTTTTGTTAGCGATGGCGTTAGTATGGAAATACACTCTGAACGGTGGCTGTCTACGTCTTTCCGCGGACAGAGACCTGTCAACCCCAGATTCTGGGGACATGGATCAACCTAGTCCATAATCATGCAGACAAAGCCATTGCCCCTCCCGTTCATCATATTCTGAAGCCTAGGGCTGGGTTGGGTTTGCCCCGTTTGAAAAGAGATTGCAGTGGATTGTCGAACTTAACATCTCAAATATCGATTGCCTTTTTAAGACTACCAGTACCTTTGCTTACCTTGGCTAGAGCTTGATTTTTAGTAGCCACAGGTGTGATAATCGCTAACCCGAGTACCCAAAAAAGACTTGTGCGACACAGATAAAGAGTATAACTGCTCCCGGTCCGGCCATATCCGCGCTCCGCCATGTCCGCCATGTCTCAGCAGGGAATGTCTCACTAAAGTGGGTTGACATGCCCGCATGATGTTCAAAGGCTACGGGAGGAATCTGTGATCGCTTAAGGCGGGAAAAATGTATGTAGAATCTCATAGGAGTCTACCCGTATCATCAAAGTATGATGAAGTAAGGAGAGGTGACGAAATGATTGATAGAAATCTTATCCGTTGGCGGAATGTCCATGTTCCGTGAAGGTTCGAATTTCTCGGACTGGCCGAGGAACATGTTTATGCTAGCTTCTTGCGAGGCAGTGATCGTCTTTCATTGTTCGTCTGTGCCTAAGGCATAAACATTGAGCACAAGTGTGATCCTTTTTGTGCGCAGTAGAGAAACTGTTACCCTACCCGGGTTGCTAGCTTCACCTTACTTATGACGCAGCTTGTTCTGACGTGCAGATTCGATCTGCTTGCATCATATGGTCATAGTCTTGTGATGAACGACGCTGGACATCATGCGCTGATTTCGAGAATTGGGTTGGTGCTAGTGGGTCGCCCGTTTTCACTATTAACGTTGCTACTATTCTCGGCAAAGCCGTCGGGCCAGTTCCCCAATTCAGACGTCGATGAATGTTATTGAATTCCCACCTTACCCCCTTGGGAGCCCACTGCAGCTGGACTGGATTGCAGAGGACGTTTTTGCACTACAGAACACGTGGAATTCAGCGGAGCAATGAAGCCGTGCACATGCACGCGCAAATTTGGTGTGGGGGAGTGAGACCCCTAGTCCTTATCGGATGTTGCTTGCATCCGTAGGAAGGCAAGGGAGAACGATAAGAGAGCTGACCACGACATTCTCGGCACAAGGACGTGCGATGCTAGTGAACAATGTTTAACGGGGTTCGCCTAAGGAGGTTCCGAATTGGTCTTCCGGTGATTGTTCGGCCCGTGATGTCGAGTCTGCTTTGTAGAGTATGCTGCATTCTTCTAGAGGCTAAGGGGAATGAGCGGGGGCTTTAGGGCGGCTGAATTGGATCCATCGTCAATTCGCCTTCCTTCTCGATATTTTCATGCTCCGTTGTTTTCATCGAACTCGAAGCGGACTGGATACTCAGGAAGCAGTGATATCCGGCGTGTTTGCGTCCCAGTGACAAATAACGGATCAGATAAGTAGCGCAGGACTGAGGTAGCGAAGCTAGCAAAACGACAGGTCGGCGGGTAATGGGTGACGTTGAATCACAACTCGAAGCTTTTCTCAGAACAGAAGCGTCCGCTATTGGCTGATTTTGTGAATCTCTCGGAACAAATCCGTTGTGATACTAGATTGCACATGTAAGGATATGCCCTTACATGTGGTGCTGACCTGACGATCGACGGCTGTCAGATGTGAACGTGACTCCACAATGCGGAATGCGACGCTATGCCATTAGCTGTAGTCGGTGGCGCTAGAGGCGACGAGGACGAAGGTAGTCTCATCAGCCCGGCCTTGGCCTGTAAACGAGGTTCACCATCTTTCCATTCGGCGATGATTTGGTCCGCGCAGGACAGAAGAGAAGACCTCTCCGCAGCAAGATGGATACCTAGCCCCTGCTTCGCCGTGCAACTGGGTCGAGCGGTGAACGTCGTCGAATCAATTTCGTAATTCATGAAAATGTTGGCAATGGTGCGGTAGACGTTGCGAAGATGATGGTTGGCGCGTATCAGGTGTGTTTCGGCCCCGTCGCGTCGCGGGAGAGAGATGTGGGGCCAAAGGCAACGGCATGTAAGTAATCGCTTACTCATCCCAATTCATAACAAATCAACACGCCAAAAACAATAACGAAACAATTCGTCCAATCCACTATCTCTGACAGTGGAATATTATCCCGATTAGGACGCGTTCTTGACGAAATGATGGCCTCGGCCCCTAAAGCGCGGTACTGGAGTTGATACTTCGAAGTGTCGCGTCTTCCACCAACAACACCTCTCATCACTCCATCTTTCCCCAAACAACGCCCATCATCCGAATTGGGCGCTGAAACTCGTATTCAGGTCGCAAAGAGCGTCCGCTGGCTCTGCTTGTTTGATCTCATCCACCAGTTGCTCCCTGTCTATGGGACGTATACTCGCGGATGGTAGCGCTTCAACCCATGGCGACGCTGTTGCCGTAGCCGCATGGGACACTTGCTGCTCAACACATAGAGAGGTCTGTCCGAGTGAGCCGCGAGATCGATGGAGACATTGAGTGTTGCCACTACCCCCCCGAATGCGTCTAATCGCCATCTGCATCCTAGCAGCCTTGCGCCGGGTCCACCCTCCACTACATCCCTCCCCACCAGGTCCTCTTTTGGGTGAACGCTTCTGCTGTCGCCGTTCCAGATCGCCTGCAGCCAAGGCGCGTCGCGACACTCCTCTCAAACCCGAGCCCAACTAGTTCTGTTGCGTCAACTCGCAGACATCATCTCTCTTCTCTGTCGTTCTCGGAACTTGTAAACCCGTGTTTTCATCATATAGTCTAACAAGCCCTCCGACCAACCGCTTTCTCTCCATTTGGCCCGTCACTCTTTAGGATCCAGCCCAACTATTTATTTCTGTTCATTTCTCTTGGAGCGGGCTCCATCCGCGCTGGCTGCGTTGGGAACTTTTGTTCTCCGTACACTCATTTTACTTAGTTTCGCGGTTCCTTTTGTCGCCACTCACCTCAGCCGTAGTCGTACAGCGCTATCGCCTTGACACATTCTTTTGGATGCAAGTCTCTCTTTTCGTTACCGGCGTGAGTTTTCCGTGCGCATTGCCTCTCCCTTGCTTCAGTTGACAGGATGCCGCATGGCGGGCCGTTCCAGTCAGGCGGTGTCGTTCCGAGCTGTTCGCGAGCTCATCATCTACGTATTCGGCCGCTTACAATTCTCCTAATACAGACGATCTACAGACACTCGCCAGGGTCATTGTATATAGAGGACGAAGCTAAACATGGAATTTAATGCGATTCAGCAGTAAGCGCTCTTGGTCGATCTACGCTGGGATTACGGTGGTTGGCGTAAACTGACTGCTCGTATAGATATCGCCCATCACCTAATAGATCATACCCTATGGGACAATCTTCGCCTACGCCAGCGACCCAGATGATGTATTCCTATGGGAATCTTCCGCTCCAAGCGCAGCAGCAACCACAAACTGTCCAGCAAATGTCAAGACCATCTCCACCGCAGCCCACGTGGGCGGTACCACAGACCCACAATCCGTACTATTCTATGCCACAAGGTCCGATCATGGGAAGTAGAGAAGAGTCTAGCTATTTACTGGCAAGGTCAGATGTTGCTACTTCTCAATCGCCGGCTCTCAGTAGTACTTCATTTAGTAATAGCATGCATGGCACTGGAACGCTTGCAACGACTGATTATTTTCCAGGTGTCATCGACACAAGTAAGAGATTTCGGCATGTCTTGTTTACCTGCATTTGCTAACATGCACAGGTCCATGGGGACAGAAAGTATGTGAAGAGTTGGAGTCTTTTCCCTCCCTAGACGCAGACGTAACAGACTACAATCATGGCATGATGGGCCAGGATGAAAACACTCCCATCATTGATCTACGCCAGTATCCTGGGATGGGGCGCCAGGAGCATGAAAACCTCACAAACTTCAATCCACAGGGTTCTCGTCGAATGTCTGAATCTACCTTTTCTATGTCGAGCACAGGAGGTGGGCTACCCGAGGTATCAACATACGAGGATCTGGGTTCTTCCGAGGCAGTTCCTTATGCGTCTGAGTATGATGCCTGGAGTCACTCGGATCCAAGCGCAAGCCACCTACTATCGCCGCTCGCCTCACCACGCAGACCTCAGCACGAAGGCGTCGTTCGAGGAGGAAGTCGTTCCCGCGCATCGCCGGCACCGCACAATAACGTCCGGTCTTCACCTTACACACTCGACAGCGGTCGGTTTAAGAGGTGGTCTACCGGGCATGCGCCGACTTCGACTCCCACAGCCTCACGCACAATGGCACAGGTTCCGGATCGCTTCGCACCTTACGGTCCTCGCCTGAATCCTCATCACTCCATGCCAGCATACCCACCAAGCGCATACACCAACTTCGGGCTACCAACACAAAACGTGCTTTATTCACAGCAGCAGCATCCTCTCCAGTCTAATAATCCGACACTATTTACACCTCAAGATTCGCAGTATCATCTTGAAGTTCCTCGGCCCCTACCGTCACAAGGTCTTTTCCGTCTGCTTCAAAGCAACGCAGACCGTCACGGGGGCGGTTCATCTCATTTTGCAGATCTGTCAGATCCGCCTGACCTCTACTCCTCCCTGCATGAAGAAGGCTCAAACCCCCCAGAGTCGGACATGAATCCTTCGGATCCGGATCTTGTGCCACATGAGCAAGATCTTCGCTTCACGGGCGATTTGTACACCCCACGGTGGGTTCGTGGTCATGGCAATAAACGTGAAGGGTGGTGCGGATTGTGCAAGCCCGGGCGCTGGCTTGTGCTCAAGAACAGCGCGTTTTGGTACGACAAGTCGTTCACGCATGGCGTCAGTGCAGCCACGGGCGCTGCATTCCAGGGTCCTCAAGATACGCGGCGAACAGAAGGAAACCTTGACGTTTGGGAAGGACTTTGTGGCAGTTGCGGTGAGTGGATAGCGCTGGTCAGCAGCAAGAAGAAAGGGACGACGTGGTTTAGGCATGCATACAAGGTTCGTATTGGTTCTACCCTCTCTACATTCCTCAACCACCTCCAAGGTCGTTCTATCCCGCGAGTTTGATTCGCCAATGGCAACCCTATCAAGGTGTCACAAGCTCGAGCTTGCTAACTATAACCTCTAGTGCCACACCCATCCCAAAGTCAAGGACGGACCTAAACGGCGCCGTGAAACCCAAGCTGGACGAGTTCGAGCAGTCTCCTCGGGCTCCGCGACGTCCTCGTCGTACCCTATCAAGCAAGAGTCATCAAAAGATGCAGCCGCTCACCGTCATTCCACCCCCACGCCAATCCCAGGTAGCTCGTCCCTGCAGAACTACAGCATGCCGACCAATGTGACATCGTCCACGCCGTATCCGACTTCAACCCCAACGGCAACACCGCAGATTACCACAACGAGCTACCCGAGCAACACTGCCTATCCAACGCCAACATCCGCCACGCCGACGATGCACGCGCTTCGAACGCCAACGCAGAGCTCCTTTTCAGACCCCCGCATGGAGCCCAACTCCACCAAGCACGAGCCGGTCGTGGGCATGTTCACAACCCCTCTGCAGAGTCTGTCCAGCTTTTCTGGCACGCCGTCTACGTTTTCAAATACACACAGCCTCTTGCACCAGGTCAGCGAGCCTGAGCTCGTGGGCATCAGAACGACGACGGCGTCACTCAACTCGATCGCGAGTATGATCTAGATTGATTGGCGTTGAGCTTCATTTCGCCTTCCTCATTAGGGCGGTTACTCTTTAGGCGTTCACGACACTGGCGGGGATTCATCGACTTTCAGCTTTTCGCATGAGCAACGACGCTTTCTTTTCGTAAGCTTCATTGGCGTTCATGGCGAGAAGAACGGCGGAGCAAGAAGTAGCATTTTCAGGGCAGTGCATTGGGTGTGGAGACTCCTATCCTTGCATCAGAACAAGTGTGTGTGTGTGACACTCATCTCTTCGATCCTTCTCAGCAGCGATGGTAGATGGTTTCGGCCTTGCGTCACAGTTAGCACATTTTGCTTTTCAGCGTTTCCTTTCTGGGTCGGTTACAAGGGCTTCGCACGCCGCGGGAGGGAGCAAGTTGGTGGTGCGGCCTTTACGAAGTTACGACTTCCAGCATTCGAGTTTAGCGTTTTGATTCGATTCCCCCCCTCGCCAACTTCACGTAGGTAGATTTCTTATTTCGATAGACTTGCTTTATCCAGCCCAAATCGATATTTTTCAAGACTACCTGCCTCACTATTCTCCATAATCAGTGTAACGTGAAGATTTGACTAATACTAGGTATCCAGCGGTGAGTCCCAGCGGTGAGTCCCCGCGTCGTCTGATTCCAGACTGTTGCGAATCCACGTGCACATCTCCACATACATCAAACAACCGCCTCAGCCACCTATACGGGACCAGATAAGCGGTCAGCCAGCCTCAAACGCCTCAGGTTCAGGCCCAAAATCTGATACCGGACTGGGGACCCTTGAAACGTCGTATGCTCGAGCACGAGCCTACTCGAATCTTGGCAAGCTGGCGGGGCAGAGGTCATCGTCGTCATCATCATTGTCATTGTCACCTTCTTTTCGGTGGGGCTAAGTTGCGGGCCAGATCCTTTGCTCGCTCGCTTTGGTATAAGCGTGCGCGACTGCCCGGACGTATGATGCGGTCGAGTGTCAATGTGACGGCGAGGTGAAGGAGGCAAGCGTCGAGTTGTACTGTACTTGGTGATTGACTAGGATAAGCGGAAGAGGCGCGGGAACATCAATGGGATCTGCGAACGCTTTTCTCAGCCCTATTTCCTCCACAAAATTGCCATATTACGAAGGTCGGCGCCGACGTCTATGATCATGCCTTGGGCTAATTGCTATAAAAGCGTATCGGATTATAGCCGGTTCTAAGAAAGATGATACTGTTTGACGAGCGTCTCTGACCTTCTAGACGAGTTCGCGAATGCTGCATCGGCAAATCTCTGATCAAAGGCGTTCGCATCCTGAGGCAGGGAATTGGAGGGGCCGGGCACCCAAGCAGTGGTTCGCATGACCAAATGCATGTCAGCTGTAATCCATATTGAGTGTCGCGAAAAGTCGTCCCGGATATGCGCATAGAATTTGGGCCGGGGCTGGTGTGGCGGGCGCGCATGGAAGGAGAAGTATGCGAACATGAGGAACCTCAGATGCTGATTAATTCTTCACCTGGCATTCGATATGGGCCAAGACCTTCCAATGTCGGAGTATAGTCGAAAGACAGGTAGAGCGGCCACTCTCTCGGCTTCTGCAGGTCGGCATCGCGATGAACACCCACAGCCCGGCTTGCCGCGATGCGTGAGGTCATGATAGGCCATGACCACAATAGTGTTGACTGACTCCGGTTGCAGCTGCAGAACCTCATTCGCGTTGTGCAACCTGAACGGCGCAGATGCATCCATTTCCTCGTCGTACAGCACACTCCTTTCGAGTAAAAACATCCCAGAAGCCAGATAGCCTCGCTTTAGCCTCAATTGGCCCTCTGTTATACACTCTTCCACATCGTAGTTACCCACAGTCCACTCTTGGCTAGTCGCCTTCTCGGCGGACCGTAAAACCTCAATAGCTGACGTGACGACGCCTGCGGCATAGATATACTGGTTCTTGACGTCTTCCCAGTGCGAAATCACGCTTGCTACGATTTGTCCGACTCTTTCCAGACTAGAGGCGGCAAAGGGCTCAGTTCCAATGCCGTGGATCGTGGCGCTGTGCCACTCCATGTCAAGACCAAGGTCGCCGCTAATGAGATTGGTGTCTAGTGTGTACCCAGTTGCGATGCCGACCCACTCGAAGCCTGGTTGTGCGTTTGAGGCTTTCTTGATGTGATCAATGACCTTCGCTTGTCCGGCGTACTTCGATATCCGCGCTTGTATCGCCTTGTTCAAGGTGTCATGGCCGAACTCGCGCGGAATGAACCGCCTTACACCTGCAGCTACGGCAGCATCTATGATGCGTATCTGTAAGTCCGAGTCTCCTCCAGCCGTGGTACTTATAACGAGGTCTTGCCCAACAAAGGCTGACTGCAAAGACTCGAAAGAGAAGTCGGACTTCTTGTGCTGCACCGTGGACTGAGGCACTTGAGACGGTAGATCGAGCGTTTGTGAGGGGTACGTCAGGACTGTAACTCGATAGGGCAAGTTTTCGGGTTGCGCAGTGGGGAGGAAAAGGGCATTGATGATAGTGAGACAGAGTTCCCAGTTCTATAGCGAGTTAGTAAAGCGATCTCATCAAGACGTCCATCCACTTACTCCTATTAAGAGGACGTTTTCAATCGCCATGCTAGTGAATATGTGTCGAAAATCTCGATTTGGGCATTTCGCTGAAGAGCAATGCTATACCTTTATACCCACCTGCACAATCGAACCTGTCACCCCACCCCACACGGATCAATGGATAAGCTAGCGCTAGCTGAAGGTTAGCATGATGTATGGTCAGCCATTGATATGAACAGCGAATTGATGGGCAAGTGCTCCAGCAAATACTGCTGTCCTGCATGGACTTCGTCCTAATATTGTTGATGCGCCTATATTAGCATGAGGCTCTGCAGCAATGCCATATTGGGATAAAAGTCTTGCCCGCGTGGGGTGCAGGTAGACGAAATGGGATGTCAAGCAGCTGTGCGAGTCGTCTTTTGGCGCATTGAGAAAGACGGGAAAGCCATTGCCGGATGGTGATCGTTCTCCATGGTCAAGGTGGTGGACGAAATGCTAGGGATGTGATGTCGAGATGGGGCTATGCGCCAAGCACAGCCTCACGTGATGCGGATCTTTCCGGCGTGCAGCTGTCGAGCTTTTGCCGACGACAACCTCGAGCATCACCAAACCTCCCGCACTCGCATCACCATCACCGCTCATCTCCCGGGGCTTCGCATCACTCGTCCGGTACGTCAATTCCTCAGTCGCAAGGCTTCTTCTCGCCAATTGAACCTCCGCAGCAGCGCGCTGACCCGCAACCTCCAGTTAGCCCATCATGAACGCCCGCTTCCTCCGTCCTTTTGCGAGGGCCGCTTTCCGCGCGCCCACCGCCGTCCGCCCCGCCGTCATGGCGCGCCCTGCGCTCGCCGTGAGCCAGAATAAGAAGACCGAGGTCGGACCCCAGCAGATGGTATGTTGAGCATGCTTAATAGGAGGTGGAGAGGAGACTAATCCAAGTGCTAGACGATGCTCAAGTCGGCGATGCCCCAGCTCATCCCCTTCTTCTTCGTCAACGAGACCACCGTGGCTTTCGTTCTGCTGCCCTCGCTCATCTACATCTTCTCCAAGTACATTCTCCCTCAGCGCGTGCGCCTGTTCGCCGCCCGTCTCTTCATCAGCAAGTTGTAAGCGAGGGAAACGATCTCGGGGAAATAAGGGAGGACCAAATGTGTACAAATAGCGGATATGTGCTCATAGACAATTGATTGGCATTGCACGAGGAATTGCGGAGCTCCACACACAACATGACATCGAATGCCGGTGCTGGGATCCGCCCAATTTGCGATTAGTGAAGCAAGAGTTTGCGTGTAACAAGACAGAGCCGCAAGTGCCCTAACTAGGAGACCTAAGCATTGATCCTACCAGGAACGAGGTCGTGGAGACACTTTGGATACTTATATCGCAGTCGATCTTATATGCGCCCTACTCGAAGACGCACCTCAGGAACACCTAGTCGATAGTACACCGCTTAACGCGGATTTTCAGCAGCTATACACAGTTTGGTGGGTCTTTTTGCAGCTTCACTCCGCGAGAGGTTGAAACTCAATCTCTCAGTCATGCACGAACATAAGCTCGACATCCTTTTTCCCCGAATCCATCACGCGGGAAGCACCGAGCTTCATATTCTATCCTGAGCCTAGGTCTTCCCTTGTTTGTCAAATTCGACGTGGCGCAGATACCAGTCCCTCACAGAAGGATTGATCAACCCTTGAGCAGCCGTCACATGACGACAACAACAGAGCGAATCCTACAGCACCAAACCAATTGCGCTTAAGACCTAATTAGGGAAGTTAAAATTATGTATAAATGCTAACATACAGTGTCAGGCAGTTAGGCAGTTTTCAACTATCTAGCAATGATTCCCTCCATCTCACTCGTCATTACCCTCACCATGTCCGCAAAAAACTGCGAGCTCCAACTCTTATCTCAACTATGGCTCCCTCGTAGTATAACAGTGGGGCAAGATGCACTGGCGTACAGAAGAGAGGTCAATACTTAAATAACGAGGCATTGTTTAATGGGTGTGGTGTATACTATCTACATGCACTAGCAAATACTGGTCTGTCACGATTTGCACACCCCGCAGAACCCTCTCTACCTTTCCCTCCCGCTCATCAATGACCTCACCGCGTCGTTGGTCTCCACCTCAAGCCTTTCTCTACTCCTCCTCTTCCTCCTCCGGCTCCTCCGAGTCCGAACTAGACGAAGCAATGTGCTCCCGCAATATGTCCGATTCGGAATTTGGGAACAGATCTGGGTCTCCCTTCTTCCTCGCCGCCTCCCGCTCCTTCTCGGAGTCCGACGACGGCGCAGAACTCGAAGGCTGATGCAGCGGCACGCCCCTCTCCTCCAATTCCTCTTGCTCCAAGGGCCCGGCCTCCTTGATTGCCTGGATGACACCCCCGAACAGCGTCTCCATCTCCTCGTCGCCCATGGCACCGATATCGACGCCTTTGTCTATTGCGAGCTTCATCTTCATGCTAGTTGCCTGTGCGATTGCTGATGCGTGCTTCTTGTTCGCGTAGATGCGTACGGCCTTGTAGTAGATCTTTGCTACGAAGCGGCAGCTTCTGCGGTGCTTTTCCGTGTCGCATTGGGCGAGAAGATCCTCACGGAACTGTAGGTCGATGGACTGCTTACCGGTCTGAAGGAAGTCGGGTGGTTAGTTAGTTATTTTAGTGAGGGTGGAAAAAGTTCATTGGGGATAAAAAGAGGGAAACGGAGGTAGACGTTACCTTGTAGCGATTTTGTTTCTTGAAGTTGCGGTATCCGAAGTCATGGCGGCGGCACGAGTCCTTGACTAACATTCGTAGTCTGTTAGTTGCGTCTCGGTGGAGTGTCATGGACTGGCTTCTTTGGATGAGAAACTCTCTTACAGTTGAAGCCAAACGGCTCGTCCTCGACATGCGAGCACCCATCCGACTCCCAGTCGATATCAGAAGGACCATCCTTCTTGTTGCGACGGATGAGGAATTGGTCCATGGGGATCTGGAACAATGCGAAGTTGGTGAAGATGGTAGAAGGTGTGATGCCTGGGTGAGGGATTGGGGTGAAGGTTGGGTTAGCTTGTGTTGAGACTGCTGTAGGGGCGGACAAGACGAGGCTTCCGATGCCTAGGATGGCGGCGAAGGCGAACAAGGCCGCCGACGTCTTGGTGATCATGGTGGTGTTAGGGTGAGTGGTTCTCAGCTATTGCTTCTTGAATTTCTGAAGAGAAGATATGCTGTGAGTGTTGCAGAAATTGGTTTTCTTCGGGGAGAAGGTGCTGATTTATTCCCTGAGCAATGAGGGGATGGTGATGCCTTCATTTGAGGTTCCATGGCGCTGATGAGAGCTTGATAATTATATGCTGAGAAGTGAGCTGATGGCGACGCATTAAATTGAGAGTCCCATGGCACTGAGGAGAGGTTGCCACATTAGACCCTGAGATGTGAGGGGAAGGCGACGCGATCAAGTCAAGTTCCACGGCGCGCGAAAATCAGGGGAAATGGATTGAGTTACATTCCCCTCAGTTGCACATTTTGGGGGACAAGATCAGATGGTTTACGTTTCCAAAAGGGGAGATCCTTGTACATTAATTGTGAAGTGTAGTTGCATTGGCACGTATTTGATAGGAGTAGTTTCTCATTCTCCGCTACGATATCTCGCAACTATATGCATGTGACATCACACATGTTCTACCCCGCTCATTTTACGCGAACCCTCTCTCATATCATCATGGACATCGTGGGTTGAGTCTTATCAATTGACATGGAAGTACCAGAAATCAACATAACCCAATCTAGTCCCGAACCCTTAGGTTCCACCACCTTGAAGCTATTCTTCGTCCTTGGGCTCGGCCTCGGTAGTGGGACGCTCTCCGAATGCTCTGTGCGCTTCGTAGTACAGCGAGGCCGAGGCTTCGCAGGCAGCTTGGTAACGCTCGGACTGACACTGTATGAACATGTCATTCCTGAGCTTCATGTCGAGACGCGCCTTGTTCTCCTATCGCGGAGTTAGATGCAGGTACTTGGGGAAGTATGGGGAAGTAGATATACACTCACCTCCGTGTAGCGGTTCTGCTTCTTGAAGTTCAGATGGCCGAAGTCGTGGCGATAGCATGCGTCATCGACTATGGGGCTGTTAGATGTGGTCTATGGGAAGTGAAGCGTATTGTTTTGACGAGATATTTTGAAGAGACGGAAGGGAACTGGGCGTGACTTACAGGCGAACCTGAAGAGATCAGTGTCCATGTGCTCATACCCCTCCGATGTCCAGTCTAGCCGATCAGGCAGCATGATCCCCTCGAATGCAGCGTTGCGAATGGTGATGAAGTCGGCGAGCGTTATGTTGAAGATGTACTCGTCGGTCGACTTCTTGAGAGACAGATCCTCGCTAGGCGCCACGGGACTGGAGAGGCCAAGTGACACGAGGCCCACGATGGTGATGAGAACGGACTTCATGGTGGTAGGGATGACCGGCGTTGACGTGGGAATGGAATGTTGTATTCTGTGCAAGTTGTTGAACGGTGGCTTTCGGGATGACCGGTTCTACTCTTGTGTCCTCTCAAGTTTGGGGGTATACCGTTTGTGTTATATACTCTTTCTCCCCAGCTATAGCCGACAATGCTTCGCGTCCTCCCCCATTTTCTGCACCTCTTCCTCCACCTCTTCCTCCACCTCTTCCACTTAATCTACCCTATCGACACAATCTGCTTTCTACACTTCACACATGCTTTGCTATCACTTTTATTCAGCCCCGCTTTCCAACCTCACGATGAAATCGCAGAGGTTTGCCTGGATGCCGATGTCGGTTACCTCCGTCGTTCCAATTGCCTAGGCATGGCGGCGACTCGTAATCTGACTAGTAGTACCGTAGAAAGATACCTTGGGGTGGAGTTAACCGAACCGAACATAGTGGTCGGTCGCTTTGCGGTCGAGGCATATTTAATATCATGGCTGTCAATGATGGAGACGATCAGAGTCCAATACTGTGGTGCCCTGGCATGTGCAGACAGAGACGACGTTATGATGGTATATTGTGCACAAATAGTGTCGTCTTTAGCTTGGTCTGTTGTCGTAATCACATACTAACCATCGTGTCTATGTGAATCAAATATAGGATGTGGATTTGCTGGAAAGGGTGTTATCGATAAGACGGGCGGCTTCGTCGATGGCGCTCCGAACCACGTCATCGCGTCTTCAAAGGGTCCAAACCAAGGGGCTTACAATAGAGGGACAACAGCTAGCTGATGCGACCATCTTACATGTCGAAATGTTGTCGCATTCATCACACAAGAGGCAGGCCTCGAGAAGCCTTGAGCCTTGAGGCGCGCTGCTCCCTGTTGCAGCTGCTTGGCAACCGACAGAATGGCCGGTGAGCAGTCATTCGAGCTCCATGAGGCTTCACGTCCACAAGCTGCAACCCAAATAATGCCACCGTACGACGCAGAGGAACCGTATAGCGTTGATGTGCGACTACACAAGCGGACGCTTTTAAAGCTCGACTGCTTGCTCCTCCCGTTCCTCGCGCTCCTGTTTCTCTTCAACGCGCTGGACAAGGCGAATGTATGGTTGGCGCAAGACTACACTACCAAAGTTCAAGACTGACCTGTAGCTTCAAAGATTGGCAATGCCGAATCCGCGCACTTCACGACCGACATCGGGCTCGACAAGGGTGACGTGAACACTGCCGTAGCCCTCTTCTTCGCCTTCTTCGTCGCCCTACAACCGGTCGGCGCAGCCTTGGGAAGGAGATATGGCATGGTACTATGGGTACCTAGCTGTATGGTGCTCTGGGGAATCTCCACTGCACTGCATGCTTGGGTGCGCTATAGATGGCAGCTGTATACATTGCGTATCATCATCGGCTGTCTCGAGGGTATGTGATTCATGTACCCAACCCACTCGAATACATGCTAAGTTCTGGTACAGCTGGGTTTTACCCCGTAACCGTCACCTACCTCTCGCTTTTCTACACGCGCTTCGAGTTCGGCCGACGTTTGTCCCTCTTCTACGGCCAAGCCGCCGTTGGAGGTGCCCTAGGAGGCATCTTGAGTTACTTCGTCTTTTCCCGCTTCCGCCGTGACAACATAGATGGACAGGTGAACACAAGGTGGCGGCCATGGCAGATTCTATTTCTACTAGAAGGCACCTTGACCGTCGTAGTCGCCTTTTTGGGATACTTTTGGCTGCCACATAGTGTCGAAACGGCGTGGTTTCTGACACCCGAAGAGCGACAGCACGCATCTTCGCGAGTTGTGCGGGATAGAGACATGCAGAACGTGCCAGCGAAGCTTCACCGCGAGGAGACCGAACAAAGCGGGGGCTACGATGAGGAGTCTCGCACCCTCTTGAATTCTTCCGAACCTTCAAAGCGCACACAGGAACGAGACTCGCTCCATGATCGCGGTCTAAGCCCTCACGACATTTTCTCTTCCCTTTTCAACCCTAGGATCTGGCATATACTAGTGTGCAATATTCTCTCTGCAGTCCCAGTCTACGCTTTCTCCGTCTTCCTCCCGCTCGTTCTCGCCCCGTTGACAACCAAGTCCAACCCTGCGCTCGTCAATCTGCTTACAGCGCCCCCGCACCTGTGCGGCGCCATCACGCTGTTCTTCTTCGCACTATATAGTGACAAACATCGCATACGCCTCTTTCCCATCCTGTCCGGCTTGGCTATCATGGCCGTTGGTCTGATTACCGTCACTGCACTCCCAACTACTTGGGTAATCCCACGCTATCTCGCGCTCAACGTCCTTCTTTCTGGCACATATGTTGCATCACCACTCACTGTGGCCTGGATCTCAGGTAACACGCCATCGCCCGGCAAGCGTGCGTTGCTGCTTGGCATCAACGGTTGGGGTAATCTAGCAGGTATCTTCTCAGCCATGTTGTTCAAGCCGAAGTACGCCGAATCCGGCTACATTGTTCCATTCTGGTGGACGCTCGTATGTGTTGCCTTCTCTGCGCTGGGCTACGTGCTCTTCCTGGGACGTCTACGAGCAGAGAATGCGAAAAGAAAGGACTTACTGAGTCGATGGAGTGCAGAGGATGTCGAAAACGAGAAAGCTGGAGGTATAGGACCACTCCCGCTCGAGCAGCGATGGGTGAAGAGGGTCATGGACAGAACAAGAAGATATGACAAGATGACGTGGCTAACTGAGTGGTTGGAAGAAGCAACGCAAGGCGGAAGACAAGGTGATGACAAGATTACCTTTACGTACGGGCTGTAAATTTATGCGTCGTTTCTGCATGGCTAGGATCCTTGTTGCCTGATTGGCATGTTTCCCTTGGCATTTCCCGGCGTTCATCAGTCGGAGTGGTCTCATCTGATTACTAGATACCCTCTCGGTACTTCGTCTTCTTTGCAGCATCTACACTATACCTTGCTCCTCAGACTCTTCGATTGTCATGAATGAGAGTATGGCGCGGATATATAATAGCTTCTCTAAGAGCAAGAAGCCCGATGATCCGCTGGTTTCTGACGCGACGGCATGGTACGTGTGAAAGATCTTGGTGCGCTGCGAATCACCAGTTTAACGTTAGTGCAGGGGATGTTCGCAGTCAGGAGATTGAGGGTTAGTTGAGGAAGGGGGTACCTGATGTGGAGATTAGGGTGCCGGGTGAGTCCGGGAAGAACACGAAATCGGGTGATGGGTTTAGTGCGGATAGTTCCAAGGCGGAGATGGTGTTCGGGTTGGTGTAGAGGAGTAAAGAGGAGACTTTTGAGGAGTTGGGGAGGCAGTCAGTTGGGATGAAAGGGCGTGGGGATTATTGATTTGCCTGCCTGGACTTGGGAGGCGGTTGCTTGTAGTTTGAAGCTATTTCGTAAGTTGTATGAGTATCTAACGTAGACTACGATAGTACCTATACGCTAGCTTTCATTCTAGCAGTCCATATAGGGAAGCGTACGAATACTAGGGGCCACGTGCAACTTTACAATAACCTGTAGCGTACAGTATGTCATAGCCTCATTTCATGGGATCCTTTTGGCTGATTGAAGTTCAGCCGAGTTGGGTACATTCGCTGATCGGCCTCACGTTATGGTAATGCCGAGGTGAAAGCCTGTGAAAGGCGGGGCCCCGCAATAACCCCTGTCCTTCAAATTGAGGTACGAACCTTGACCCTCGCAAGGCGCTCGGAGCTTTGTACAGTTATGGACAGAATTCAAGTAAACTTCCGGAATTAGCTTTTCATAAATTGAAGATCAACATAGACCAATACTGTGATCAGGTAATGTCCGCTAGGATTGGAATGAACTTGGAAGTAAGACTCCGCATTCTCAATCGTAGGGTAATTGCTAATAAGCAACCCCAAAATGTAGCTAGACATGTATTTCAAGCAGGTTATGATTGGCACAAAGTCAGGAATGCCCTCGCATTCCTCTTCTGTATCCATGTTAATGACTGGTGTCATACCATGAGAAGACCTCGGGACTTCATTTTGTTGATGAGATGCCACGTGAATGGATTGAAGGATATATTTGTGTCATAGACGTCCCTATGTTTTGTAGGAAAGCTAGCTGACCAGTGTGTATATCTTTCTAGCCTCCATTCAATCCACTCGGATCGGAAATTGAACTTCAAGATGCATTACTCAATCCTTCTCTTGTCTTTGCTCCCCGTAAGCTATTCGATTCCAGTTGAGCCTCGCGCAGGCACACAAGATCTTGCACCCCAAGTCCTCGAAACTATCAACGAACTGAACACCGCCGTCGCCGGCCTGACAACAGCCGTCACCAATTTCGATGGTTCCTTCCTCGGCCTCCTGCCCCAAGCTCTCGCCGTTGTAGGCGCTGAGACAAAACTCGACGTCACAATACTCAAAGCAACCCATATCACGAAGCAAAGCTCCAATTTCACAGCGGCGGAGAGTTCGCAGATTGTGCAGACCTTGGCAGGCGAGATAGGCCCGATCCAAACGTCATTGGACACACTGAAAACGAAGGTGAATAACCCTGGACTCTCAAGCCGTAAAGAGTCTAATTGACGTTTTGTAGTACCCGGCGTTTAAGAAAACCCTCTTATCTCCCATTGTGCTGTTCGATCTTAAGGTCTTGAAGAAGCATACCCATGATCTCATCTCGGCACTGACCGAGAAGGTCACACCTGATAATGCGGGCCTCCTGGGAATTGGTGCAACTATTCTTGACCAAGCCTTTGATTCTGCGATCGCTGTTTACAAAGGGTAACGCTTTAGCTACGCTACGGTATTTTATCAGAGCAGGCTCAGTATCTTGGCTTTAGCTCAGATAGTACCAGAGCTCCGCTGCTCTTACCGTCAAATCAATTCACTGTACCAACATTTTTCCCGTTTGACATTTTAACCTTAGCAAATAATCGTAATGCCATTGTGCCTTGTGGGTTCACTCTTCGCTGTGAGCTGGTTGAATCACTTAGGATAGAGGATTTCCCTTGCGCTATTTTGAACTGCCTCTGAAATGATGAGCGAAAACTTCTTAGTTGGTTCAGAAATGATGATCGCAAAGTTTAGTCTTCCTCGCCATTCATCCTAAACACAGTTGGGCAAGCGTATCTAATCTCATAGTCCTGGAGAAATAATAGGTTTCAAGGCGAGGTCCTGGAACCGATATAGAAAACTTAATTAATGAGAAGAAAGCACCTCTACAGCGTCATGGAATTCATCCTCTTCGATCCGACTTCTCACCTCAATACTGTCTAAGAACACTCTAAAAGCGTCAACAAAGGCATCTCCAAGCCCTGGGTTATCATTCAGTCTGTTATCGATAATTTGTGTAATCGTAAAACCATCTCGATCGACACATTCCAACCCATCAAGCGTGAGTCGGAACGATGTCAATATACGGAGTGTTTCAATGTCGGCACAATAGGCGGCGATGTGCGCAATGGTCGGCCAAGCCACACTGGCCCCCGTAAGTTCAGCGCCTTTCGCATACAAGAATTGCAGCGCATCGTGGTTATTGTATTCGACAGCATTGAAGACCGGTGGTCTACCGTCATGGGTTTTGAGGTTAATGTCAGCCCCACAGTCTACGAGGTATGTCATAGCCTCGTTATGTCGCTCGAGGATAGTTGTAGCCAAAGGTGTCGCGTGCCAATTGGTCCTCCAATTTACATCAGCACCGGCTTCAATGAGTGGCCTATAGTATGCCAAGTCGTTTTGATGCACTGTAGCGTAGTGCAAGGGCGTCTGCCCTTCCACGTCAGTCTGATCGATTGTGGCACCGTAGTCGAGGAGCGGCTGTATACAACCCGGGTTTCGTGCGCTCGCTGCGTACTGGAGAGGACTGTGGCCGTTTGACGTGCATATGTTTGGATCTGCTCCAGATATCAGCAGCTGATTGGTGACTTCTGTCATGCCACGCTGAGCCGCCCACGACAAAGCTGTTCGACCCGTTGAGTCGACAACGTTGATGCACCCCGGATTTTCAGAGAGACATATCTCAATCATTGAAAAATCGAGACCAAGAACAATCCTATGGAGCGTAGTGAAACCCATCTCTTCGAGGCAGTCTCGGTCATTGAACAGCTCTTCCATTTCCCGCTGGGTTTCGTACTCATAGGAACCTCCTAGGATCTTTGTCCAGGCCCATTCTAGAGGAGAGCTACATCATGTGAGGCTTTTTAGTGTGATCGAAAAGAATAGGACGTACAGTTGATTTGAGCCATCCTCCATCATGGGGTCAGCGCCTGCAGCAAGAAGAGATTTACAGATTGCGGTGTGACCATAGCTGATAGCATACTGTGTGAAGTTAGCATAATAATTTTGGAAATGTCATGATGACATTGTGGAGACGCACATGAAGAGGTGTCCAGCCCCTAGGTCATGTGTCAGCTTGACGTAGCTTTCATGAGCGATCGCGCAACAAACCCTTTGAATGTAGCGCTTGAAAGAGATGCGCAACGCTCGACCATACCCCTCACGCGTCCGAGATTATTTGTCTCCACAGCGCGGTAGATAGAAAAGTCTGTATTCAGCGGCCGGACTTTGATGCAGGCTGCAGGATCGCCTTGCGAAGTCGTGATGCATATCAATGACACCATCTTCCTGAAGAGAATGGTCGGTAGATAGTAGGTGATTGTTGCTGAGAAAGGCGATCTCTGCTTGCATCGCCCGTCTGGACAACCCCTGGAAAGCAACGGAAGACTGGAAAACCCGATAAACAGCTCGCCTAGAACTTTCTGGGCGAAAGACGGCGACCTGTATCGTCGCCTTGTATGGCAAGGGCATTCGCATTCAGGTACGCAGCCTTTCTTCTGGAAGCGCGAGAACTCAAGCTTGAGCCTTGAGACGGACTCTGTAGAGACTGTTGTAGTGGTTGACGCTCCTTCCGAGGATTCTGACCTATACTGGTGGGTTTGCGATGATGATGTTTGACACGTGCTCCCGCCTGAAATGCCGTTGGCAGCAATTGTTGTGGTCGTTGTTGTGATGGTTTCTCTTATGCGTTCTTCTGAAGTTACAACAGCCCTGTTAAGGTTCTCAATAAGAGCCATCAACAAGGTTCTGTGCCAGAATTTGCAATCTATTGTCGACCTTATTGTCTCGATCTGTCGTTTGTTGAGCCTTAGTCACGTTCTCGAGCAGCACTCTTTTCAACAAGACCACTGATCGGCTAGCAAGAGTGCTACCGGACGTCAGTATTCATATAATATATGCTACCGTCTCAATATTGCTAACAGTCCGGCCCTCAACTCACCGAGTACTAGCGGAGAAGTGGACCGCTATGGTAACCTTGAGTTCTCGGAGTTCCGTTCTCAGCGACTTCAGCTTAGAACGGTTCAATAGCCAAGCTCGTGAATGGATGGTGACTCCGCTAAATGATTTGGATTTCGTGACATCCCGGAGCGTTGAGTCTATCTGAATCAGAACGCGTTCAATTCTCCTAATGAGATGCTCGGCTTTGGCAATATTCTCTGGATCCTGGTATACACCAGCACTGTCTGGCAGAGAAAGTCTAGTCTGGAGCCATTGTTCTTGACTGGAGTTTTCATGAATATTTGACAAGATCAGTCTGGTGTCGGTAACTTCATTGTGAAGGAACGAGATCTCGCTAGGCGCATTGCGAACCTGCCCGATGAATTCAAGAAGAGTATCCGCAAAGGTTATTGTGGCTCCAACAATTGTGATTCCGGATGCGACGGCACCGACTATTTCTGCCATTGCGTTCTGTCCTTGTACACGATTTGAAAGATGGGCGTGGAAGCCAAAGTCTCACAGTTGTTCGTCAAAATATGCGCGGAAACCCAATGGCAGCCTAGAGAGGAGAATATCCTGCTTTTTGTGACCGGTGAGCAGACCCAGTTCACTATTTGTTGAAAGGGCCAGTATAAACGCCATGGCGTTCCTCGGCTAGGGAGTATCCAGTGTGCTTTAAGGAGGACTCGCCAGGCGAACATGCTTGACTTGCCTAGAGTGTTTGCCTCGGATGACTGCGGGGTAATATGCACTTATGCGATAGAGCCAGCCTCACAGCGATAATTATTGCCGCTCGACATCTGAAGATTCAACTCATCTATTACCGTTAGACAACTGAAAGGGTGTAGCCCGAAATACCTCAAGCACTTAGCACGTAGCTTGAGACCGTTATCGAAGCTGCTGTCCTAGTACTCCTCAGGGTCAACGACAGTCTTGCCTCTCGAAGTCGCAAATTTACAGACGGAAAGGGAAACCCCAAATATGTTCGCTGAGGCGTACGGTGACTACATGTAGCACACGATATATACACGTGTACATGTCTTGATCCGAGTTATGTTGGCGCTCCTGTCATGACCCCGAATACCCTTAACTCCACTAGTGCGAGCGCCTTCCGGGCTAACTTTTCACCACCCGGGGGCGAATATCGGAACTAGGCCCCTTATGTCCGTGGCTAGCGGAGCTTATCCAACGCTCCATCACCCTTGTCTAGGTTTATGACAAAGTAGATGACGGCATGAAAGAGCAATCTATATAACAACAAGTGGAAAGGGAGTCATCTTCAAAACCCACTGTAGCGCTCATAACTTTAAATACATTCAAGAAGCGCTTACGCCCAGAACGACTTGTTGAGCTATCGCCAGTCTTTGGAGGTTTACTTCCTAGCGGCTATACACTCCTTCAAATACTATACTCACCATGCCAAGTCTCCAGACCATCCGCAATGGGATCGCCGAACTCCCCAAAGGCCCTCCACTCGTCGTCACGCTCACAGGTGGCACGACAGGCATCGGATCTTATGTTGCCAAAGCCCTTGCGACAACCTTTGCGAATCACGGCCCCAAGCTTCGAGTGTACATTGTTGGCCGCAATGCCGCCCGCGCCGAGACCCTACTCAGGTATGGCCGTGAGACGAGCTCCGAATCGGATTGGCAGTTTGTCCAGGCGACGGATCTGTCATTGATCAGTGAGGTCGACCGTGTCTCGCGCGAGATTATTAGGCGCGAGGAGCAGTCGCCATTTGCTGGGGGCCCTGCAAGATTAGATTTGCTGTATATGAGCCAAGCGCTTTCACCACTCCAGGAGTCAAATCGTAAGTGTTTTGTCATCTTCTCTCGGGCGACACTACTCTTGAATCGGCTACTAACTGATGCATAATAGATACCAAGGAAGGCCTTGATGCACAGATGTCTCTGCTATACTATTCCCGTATGAGGTTCATTCAAAACTTCACACCGCTGCTATCCGCTGCCCCCAACACTGCACATGTCATTTCCATATTTGCCGGCGGCATCGAGGACAGCATTAAATCTGGAGAAACACCAGTCGGCACCCCACCACCTTCCAGTTATGGCGTAACGGCTGTGCGAAAGTACACGGCGTTCATGAAAACTTTCTTCTTCGAAGAGATGGCGGAAAGGCATGCTGGCAAGATTAGCTTTACGCATATCTACCCCGGGTTAGTGGATGGCCCGACGTTCTATAGTGACGCCAATCCGCAGTGGTTTCGCATATTGTGGCGGGTTTTGAAGCCGCTCGTCTCGTGGTATATGACTTCGCCGGAGGATTGTGGTCAGGTCATGTTATATCTTGCGACTCAGCGATATCCCGCACAGGGGACAGTGAAGTCCGACGATGTGAACAAGGTCATTGGTGGAATCTCATCTAGTACGCAATGTGAATTAGGAGATGGAGCCTATGGGGTAGGTCAAAGAGGAGACGAAAACAATGTGGTAAGCTACGTCAAGACTCGGAAAGATGATACAACGAAAACTGTCTGGGATCATACCGTGAATACTTTAGCGGATATTGAGAAGAGAAATGCTCTTCTATGAACAGCTACGCGAAAGCACTCGATGCTCTATAACAGGGTTTAATAGCAAATCTGATTTGCATTTTTTGACGATAGAATAGTAAAACTATGTAAGAATACCAAAGAAATTGCCAAAATTCTCCAAGGCTTTGTTAAGTTATAGAGGTAGTATTAGATATATAGCCTCCCCTTCCTCAGTCTCTCGGGTTGGCTGACACACAATCGCTCCGCATTCTCGCAATGTAGCCTGATTGCAATGTATCCGACTTCCGCTCCAGGACTCATGTCTTCAATACAGATAATCCTGTTCCTAAGCAGTCTATCCCGTTCTGCGCCATCCAGTGTAGTCCCAGTCTCAGTGTGAAAGGGGGCGACTGGACTTTTGCCGGCTGGCGAGCGTGTCAACGTTGAAACGTATCCTAGCAAATCGGGTGCGATAATCATGAATGACACGACGAGATTGACGGTAGCAAGAGTTAGAAGGATGAGGGTGGTAAACACGAGAACCATGATCCACGGAATGCTGACTCGATACATTAGGATGTCGGATTCTTCAGTGCACCCTGCATTTGCCATCAAGGGTTCCTGAATAACATCGGATGTGTTCGTAAGCATTGTATGCCCCTGCCATTGAATGGCCTGCCAATAGGTATTAAATGCTAGTGTGAGACGAGCCGATAGATTGGTCGCATTGATGGAGTCCCAGTGTGGTGAGAGTCTTCCAGCTGTTCCTAATTCAAAGCCTTTACCTTGCAAAGCGGCTATATAAATGTCGTACGGATCAGTTCCATTGGTCTGAGTAGGAGTCGAGAGTATGGTAGCCCACCACTCAATGAAGAATTTCAGAGTATTCGTGTTGAGAAGGAGACACGGGAGGCTTCCGAGATTTGCGTGGCAGGGTATTTCGTTCTTCCCCTCGAGTATACTATGAGTTGTTACAACAGGTGGTATCCGTCGCATCCGGAAGATATTGCATTGGCTGTTCGGTTGACATCGAACACCCACCTCTAAGTGGTAATAGGTCGGCAAGCACTGGAAGACTTGGGGACCTAAGGACGTGTACCGAGCTCCATATAGAAAGTAGGTCAAATATGAGGCTGTTTCCGTATTTTTCTCCTTCTGATTTGTACTATTGTAAGCATATCTGAAGAAAGTAGCTGCTGGTCGTGGCGAAGGTACGTGCACACCATACGCTTTGACCGTTCTGTTGAAGATCATGCCCTCCGCTTCCATTATTGCGTCTTGTGCAATGATACTGGCTGCCGAGTCTTCAGGTGGGTCGAAAGGACCAGTATGTATGTCTGATCGGGTCAGATAGGCCAATATATCAACTGGATTCCTTGATGATAGATGCGGGGTACAAGTGAGATCTATATAGTCGTATTTCATATCGAATTGATACCGCCGACTAGGATTAACATCTCTTATCTTGACGCCTGTCCATGAGGTAAATTCGTTACGTTTGGCGGCAGAGCCACTTCCAAGGGTGACCATTGCTGTCGTGCTGTCGTTGTCAATCTTAGTCCAATCAATCCTTGGGACCTTGACATCACCCCAAAGATCGAATGCGCCATTCTTGATTGTATCAGGTGCTATTAGGTTCGCCGCCATGATAGTACTGGCAGTGTGAACGGTTTGTTCGTTAAGCTCAAATACCGCATTGGATGAGGAATATGATATCTGAGCCAGAGATCATAACTCAGTAACTACTTCATGAGATGTTCGACGGAAAGTTTACGTACCGTGTTGCTTGTCGACGTGGTTGAATTTGTCTCGTAAAGTAGGCGAAGAGAGCTTTGGCCTCCAAGCGGAGATAGCATCCAGAATATCAGAAGGAGAATACTCAGAAGGTTTACAGAGCGAAGTTTCACAAAGCAGGCTATGGCGGAGACCACACTTTGACTACTTAGCAGCTCTTCAAGCGTCTAATGAGTAAATTAGTGTGACCATTCCCACAAGAATTTCTGGAAGGCTTACCTGGAGTCTTACTCCCGATTCAATTCTGATAAGCGCAATATTTCTCAAGCAACAGCTGCTGACACTTGCGAACACAAGGGGGAATATTGTAGGTCCGAGGTTCATGGCGCGTAGAACCATTTGACCGCGTTCAGAAATCGGATTTGAATTGAATCCAACCGCTGTGATTGCAAGCACTGCATTACCAAGTCAACATGAGCTGAACGGCCATAGAAAAGGATTCACTCACCAAGGAAAGGAACGGGTAAAAGAAATAACAGTATGTTACCCACGATCAGCCAAGCAGATACCCCATGGAGGACGCGCGCTTCGGTTGGCCAGCCTGCTACGGGTAATTCGGCGCGTGATACAACTGCAGGGTTATCGACCTCTGCTTTCTCTATGGACCAAGTTTCATTTGCCAATGTGTTGTACTCGTCGCTAGATGCCTCATCCCCTGAGCAGTCTGATAGGGACGACACAGTACATGTATCACTACTATCGTCCTGCGTTCCGTTATTTTCGATGGTGTCATGTTCGGCGTTTCCAGCGTCAACAGCTGAGTATGTGATAGATGGACTCTTCTGCATCCTTGGTGCAAGAAGAGATATTGAATTAGCAACGGGCACGAAAAGTACAACGAATAAGTGTCGCATACATAATGGGGTTGGGGTTCAGTTCACGTCCTTTTATTGCAAAGAAGGCTGAACTTTTGTCATTGAGGGGTTTTCAGCTACGGCACAGCCCGCATTTGGGGGTGCATTGAACTGCGCTTGATTGGTAACAACGATAAGAGCTACCGCATCACGCATATTGCACCTTTCAATAAAAGAGAGAACGAGCAAAGCTGCTATTAGACACACTGACAGATCTAAATGCCAGAAGGGTGAACTTGAAGTTCTCTAGCCTCTCTTCAAACTAAATATGCTAACTATATGCAGACTGTGATGAAATATCTCTAGGTTCAGGAGTCAAACGGGAGTACGTTAACAAAAATCCAGGCTCGGCGCAGAGTTCGTGCGACTTCGCGGCTTATGGCGCATCAGCCTTTCGTCGTGAAAGGTCTTGGCTCATATACATTTAGTAGTTGTCCGAGACTCAGCCTTCTCACGTCAGCTACCTAGCAACATTGCTGTAACCCTGATGATATCATAGGTGCACTGCGTTCAGAATCAATTTGTTACCAAAAGTCAACCCGCGCACCGCTGACTGATCGTCTCCCACTCTCTGCCCGCGAGTTCTAGGACCACGATAAGAACAGGAAAACCACCGTTCTAGCTATCACAAGCCTTTACCACATGATTCATTTGACAAATAGCTGTAATAGCCGCCTCAGTGTGAAAGAAGGGGTATATTAAGATGTCTGTTTGTTACCCAAAATCGCAGCAGCATTAGACGTGTAATTCATCGCCACAGTAAGGCTATTATATCAGACCACCCCCGATGTCAATGAAAAAGAAAATGCAAATGGACGTTAAAGAAGTCGCACTCTTATCGCCAGGAAGTCTTTGAGTTTGGACTTTTCAGAGTACATCACAAATCTTGGTGAGGCTATTAGGGTGTGAAGGGAAAACTGTACAGGTTTCCGAGTAGAGTTCGATAGCTCAGGAAGGTGCTGTTGAACTATATTCGAGTATTCGTACGCAGCTGTGTGCATTGTTGGTACAAGGGTAGGTTGTAAATAGTTCATGAGTTCGTACGACGCGAATTCGACCGCAAAAGGCAAGAGATTGAGTGCCTCATTCCCGTAATATTGGAGAACGACTGCTAGTGTTCTAGAACTTCGGAAGGACCTAGCGGATAAAATGCTTGCCTGGACAAAACCAATGATGGTATCGAGTTTGAATTTCTTTTCCTGGGGATAAAATGGCAAGGATCTATTCATACTGCTGCTAGAATCCATGCTTCGTTGTCGGAATCTGGCGTCTTTGTATTTCCTAATAGGGTGGCTTTGTTTAAGTGACTTGAGTTTTGAACAGTTGTCGTACTTTTCGGCGATATTCTGCGCTGATGCTGTATGCGCTGACGCGACCAAACAGTCAAGAAGCATCTCCAAATGCTCCAATTGGGAATCGCTAATACTGAAAAAATGGCTGGCTCGCATCTTGTGAAAAGCCGCGGCGAGAAAATCCCGGAGAAGGCTAGCAGGTTTCGTAAATTGATAAAGGTCATAGTTGCCAGTATCAATAAAGAGCGTTTGGTCTTCCTGCTGGACAACGTTGATCTTAGGACAGATGTAGCCAGCGGGTAAGATATATGGCTCATCTACCACGGCCGCGTGTGGTATGATCACGCCGTTCTTTCGACGTTGTAGAGGAGTTGAAGCGTAGCTCGCTTTGGTAATGTCGCCCCGGGCATAGTTTCGAGACTGAATGGGTGCCCTAGTAACTCTCACTTGTCTTCTACGTACTCGTACGGTTGATTTGTTGCTTGGTGATTGCGTATATATTCCAGAGCTTGGAAGTCGCGGTGGGTTACATAACGAGATAGCTTGTACCCTGTCTTCGATATGCTGAAGTTTGGCTCGTAAAACAATATCATGTCGCCTGGAATGACTATTAGTGATGATGCGCATAGAATCAGGGTTTAGTAGCTGGTTTCCAACATTACGCACCTTCCCGTAATAGATAATGCAGCATTCAAGCTCTGAGTGTACCGAGCAAGGCGGTATCTCGCAGCCGTGATGTCATGGTCTTTCAGCGCCCACCGAATATTGCTTTGAAGTAATGAAAACCAGCCTTCGGTTCCAGATCGCATAGATTGTCCTAGCAGTCCCCTAAGGTGCCGAAGATCCTGCTCGATGAGGGTTAGGATTGTGTGAATATTTGGCAGCGTATGCCCGTCATCTTGTGCGAACGGTGATGATGCATGTTCGGTGATGACCACATGAACGAGAGCTACGATCGAAAGCAATACTTGGAGCTCGGGAAGCAGCAATGTAATGTTTTTTGTTGCAGATCGAGCCTTGTCCAGGAGCTCATAGAGAGTTTTCCCAGCATGAAAAACCGTATCGGAAAAGCCGACGATTTGGAGCACGTTAGAAGCTATCGAGAGATTAGAGAGCGCAGACATTATGAATTGTCGCAGAAGCTTTGTGGTACGGTGGATCTAAGTCTGAGAATGGAAATGGGGGCTATATAATGGATGGAAGCTGACTGCTGCTGCGCCTCATACTTAGTCACAGGCATGGTGTTGCCACATGGCTGAGTTTCTCTGCCCCACCACGGTTTCTGCGCTATGGAATCAGCCTACAGTAGATTTACGTCGCGGTACTGTACTATTTAATATGCAAAATAGCTTCTACGATCTTCAGAGGGCTATATATGAGCACTTCAACCCCTCTCTTCTCTCCCTACAATAGCACTAGTAATCTTGCAATGGGTAATGTGCGGAGTAGGCATAGTGCTGTATCGACTGGATTACAGTCGCAGGGTAATTCAGGCCTGTCGCATCCCAGTTAGCTAGTAAAAAATACCCTGCCGTCCCAGTGGCAATCTCTGTAAATGTTAAAAAAGATTAGTTTCAAGTTCTTACCAAACGTTTCACCGAAGGTCGGAAAGCTACAATTTATCTCCAAGAGTTCTGAGTGAAGTGCCTCAGAGAACTAAATCGATAAGGGTTGCATCCGTCGACGTCGAATATGGCGCTGCAGATGTTGTTGTTTACGCTTCTGTGAGAGAATACATTTGGGTAATTGAAGGTAAATATTGAATTAGAGACTGAACATTAGGCTGTAGACAAAGGCTAATTTTCTAACTATCTACGCATGTGAAGAAGCCTGTCATGAAACACTTAGCTGCTACAGGCCTCAAACCAAGGTACCACATCCTCTGAGTTTCTACCATTATCCCAGTATGAGTCTCCGGTACACCATTGATTCCCACCAGGGACTTAGACACCGAGTCGTACAGTCAGCTCGAATGGCTAAAACCTCCATACCGTCGTTAGAAAGTGTTATACTTGCTGTATCGTCTCGGTTGAAGTAGACATGTCCCATCCTTTCTAATACACCCCCCATATCCTTAGTTACCATTATGAACGCCTTTTCAGGATTAAAGGCATCCAAGGGTTTACGAATGACTATGCCTATCAGATCTTCTGTCTCCAAAGAGTCGGGGAATGTTAATCTATTCTCTTCCAAGAGGTGCAGTGGAGCACATGCTATGACACCACTAGCTGTAGCTGGATATGTGTATAGGTTTATTATGTCTTTCGAATAGTGTGAGATGTCTCGCACTCGAAGGTCGATTGTCCATGCTTCGATATGGATATAGGGGGAGGATGGGAAGGAGTTACTTCGTTGTATGTAGCGCTCGAAAAAGGATTCAAAGTCCAGTTGGTCCTCATTAGGTGACTGTATCGAGATGCGGGTTTTCAATTGGGGAATTTCGACCCAGGTGTTATACTCAGGCGAGTTGCTAAGGACTGAACATGTCCATCCCGTCCACGACCAACTGGGAAATTGAGGTCGCCGTCTGCCTGGACCTGCAGATTGCCAACAGAGACCTGCCACGAACCCATCAGTTCTCTGTCGCATTGAAATGCAAGTTGCGCGCCTCCTCGTTGGAAGGACCGGTACACCCCAGTAGTGATAGATTGGATCCGTTGCATCTTCGAAGAGGCGCAGAACCCCAAGCAATCCTTTGAGAGCGTCGCAATCGTATGTGAGCGTCCTCTTTGAGTATTGACTTATTTTCTGGAGAAAGTCCCAATTTCCGCCGTTATAATCTCGTCCCAAAAATAGGTTCGGAAAAAGAGTTTCGTTGTCTGAGTCAACCGCCTCCCCAAGGTTTGATCCGCAACATTCAAGATACACTTGCTGCTCAGTGAATATAACGAGACGTCTTGAACAAACGGCTTCCTGGTATGTCCACGCTCTTGTTGACCATGTAGATGAAAGAATTTGCCACCCTGGACTTCTCATGGATGAGACTAGCGTATGCTCTCCGATTGAAATACGTGGTTGGCGGATCCTAGTGTTACTGCTCACCCCAGGGAGACAAACAGTTGGGTCACCGCCGGCGGCAGCAACAATTGTTACTTCAGCTTTATGGTATATCCTGTCCATTTGGCGAAGCTGATCATGTTTAATATCTTCATCTCCTTGCGGGATACAGTATCTGTCAATCCATAGGTATTTAATCTGCAGCCTTTTGGTGACAGTGATTGCATCCTCAATAGTCCGAGGGAGCACCTCAGCTAGGTGCAAACCATCTTTGATGTCGGTGCTCGCCGGCTTTATATTACCCCATACATAGCTGAGTGCAGCATAGGTATGGCTACTATCTGCCATCTCGATCTTTCGACTTTCGCAGTTGATGAGTAGCAGAAAGGATACCGTTGATCTTTCCGTTGCATTACAGGACGAATCGTGTCTTTGCCGACAGGATGATAGCCACTGACAAATACGGTGAAAGTCTACCTGGTCGGGCGCGACTAACTTCCCTTTGAAATATCTTGTGTTGCTGGAGATTGGTTGATTGATTGGGAGAATGTAGCCAATCTCTCTCGAAGAAGCTATCATCGCCCTATATTTATTAGGGTCTTTTTGAACAACCCCTAGTGCAACTGAGTTGTCTGAGAGATACAAGGGGTATGACCTAGTACATAAAGAAAGCAGCGATAGAGTCTCAGCTCCCCATCGTTTGGGCACCACAGAAGACAAGAACTGGCAAAAGTGACATGGAGTAGTGACCCAGTTTTTGGATTTTCTGCTAAACTCCATGATAAGTGTGCCATGTCTGTCGCCCACATGTTCTGACATGATCTTATTCATGTCAAGTGCCGCGCATCTAGCGCAGAGGTTTTGTTCTGGTCTCGCAGCCGTGTCCGTGGGTGGGGTTGAGGAAAGAGTTCCAGTTTGCGGGCAAATCGTCGTAGTTCTCTGAGCTTTCACCCTTGGTTTTAAGTGCGGTTCAGATTTATCGATTGCATCTAGAGCACGCTTTGCGGGTTCAGTTTTCGTCATCGTGTGCGATCTCTTTTCGAGGCTTTGGCTTGATGTAGCCTGCACTGGTGGCTCGTTCAACACTTGCAGTTCCAGTCTTTGAACTTCCACCGGTGGACTTTGATCCGAACATGCTGACGGATCAATCGTGTCTTCCATAACGTCTTCCGCCGAATGTAATTGTGTATGCAGGTTGCTGTGGTTCGTATCGGTCGCGAGACCTTGAGTCCCTTATCTAGGATATATCGCGAGCGTATAAGCTCAAAGGAGAGAGCATGCCCTCATTATAGGATGTGCTCTTCGTGGCGAAATCGGCAGCGGGCTGCTATCTCGAGCCCTGCGTGGAGGTGTTTGTAGGCAGTATTAAGAGTATCAAGAGTGAAGGATTGACGGTCGGGTGCAGCCTGATGAATTGAGGGGAGAGGGGAGTATCGGGTTCTCGTGTGCACAGCCTCGCAAGAACATGCAGGCTGACACTCTGCACCAACTGCCGCTGCACTGTGCATACATATGAGAAGGCTGTCATCTGTATTGGCGTCGAATCAAAGCAAGTTCTGTTGTCGTGGCACCTCAGCTGAGCATGAGGCACGAATGCACGACACGAAAGCATCGGTTGAAGGCATTCCTGTTCAAGTATCCGTCGAGATAGACAAGGGTGTTAGTTATGAGAATCAGGTCACTTGCAGGGCTTGTTACACAATAGACTAGGTTACGAGAAAGAGGATGCGCTAGTAGGAACGAGCGGAACGACACATTGTCGGAAAGATGGGCCTTTCCAAAGTCGCGGTTCTGATCTGGGGTACCTCGAGAATAGCGGGATGATAATGGCCAGGGTATCCAAGGTGAGGTGGACCCAACACTCGTCAAATCGGCTGGACATGAATAGAACAACGTTAACTGTACGGCAGTTGATAGCTTTGGAGGAGTTCTGCCGACCACAGCAGCTTGCGATGCAGGTTCACCGTTTAGCACAGAAGCTTGCAGCGGTCAGAACATATTAGCGCCCTCGTGTAACCTCAGTCGCTCCCCGTAGTAGCACGACATACCCGTGGACGACATCAGCCTGCGTCGAGAGAGTGCAACAATAGTATCGTCGCCAGCGAACGCGCACCCCAGCGCCTCGAAGTTTGGTTGATAGCTGCGGACCGGATTTGATGCACCGGCGATCCAAACAACGCGCTGGCCCCGCCCAAAGCGAAAAAAGCCCACATTTCGTACCAGACGGTCGAATCGCAAAATGACGCGTGCTCATGCGTCGAACTTAATCCAAGTCAGGTTCTGTGACAGGCTGCGCACTCAGTAGGCTGCAGGCTAACCAAGCATCAAACTCTGTTTTTGCACGCGTGACGTGTTGTTTGGCCGCGTCGAGTGGGCAACGGCTGGCTGCTGTTCCTCCGCGCCTCCGCAACAACAATGGGGAAAGGAGCAAGTCGCGGCGAATGAGGTGGATAATTGTGGGAAATTGAAAGTGATTGCACGGAGAATTTGGCAGATTGAGGGGGGTCAAAGGCGTGGGCGTTACGCAGGGTGGGATGCCGTCGTGGCCATGTGCTGCAACAACGGCCCGCGCCCGCTAGCCAATCAACCCTGAGCTTGGACGTAAACAAACCTGGACGCCCGAGGAGAGCCCACCTCTGCTTCGACGACTTGTAGCCTAGCTGCCGCCCCTCAGACATCTGCAACGTATTCTGCACACCGAATTGATTTTACCCAGCAAAAAAAAAGCGTATAGAAATTGACATCTGACCCACCTTTCTTCTCAAGCACCCACCCGCGCGGATGCTTTTTCGCCTACCCACTGCCTCGCTCCTCCCGCCCGCCGCACACCGCATCTGGTGGTAGAAAATCCTCTTCACCCCCTATACACACACCCACGACGCTCGCTATAACGTCGCCACCCGCCCTCACGGGCACACACAGCCATGGACGGCGCTCCTCCTCCGCCGCCGCCTCCGCATGGCGCCAATCCAAAGACAACTGGAGGTAGCCATGCTCCCGGAGGCAGCACTGGCTTGCCCCCGGGAAACTACGACATATTCATCATACCGCCGCACTCGGCCGGTGGCGGCTTCGTCTATTTGCCCAGCATGCAGGTCCAGCGGAACAGCTTCATGGCGGGCGTGGCCAGCACCATAGCTGGTATTGCTATATGGAAGATCATAGAGCCGCAAGTCAAGCAGTACTTCCTGCTGGTCAGCCAGGGCGTATCATCAGGTGGCAATGGCGTCATACTACTAGTGGTGTTGGTGGGACTAGCTGGCTGGGTGTTCGGTCAGACAACAGCTGGGGGGTTGTTCAGTGGGAGTGGGCCAGGTCGTGGACCAGGTGGAGCTGGAGCTAGTGCTGGGGCAGGCCCAGGCACCCCGGGGGCAGGCCCAAGCTACCAACGTGCACCTCCACCACCACCCAACGGCGGCTTCCCTGGTGCTGGCGGACCTCCACCTCAAGGGGGATGGGGTGGATACCAGCAGTACGGTGCCTCGTCTCCGCCTCCACAAGACAATGAGTCGACGTGGGACGAGGAGGAGGAACGAGCAGAAGAGGAGCGGAAACAGGCCGAGGAGAAGAAGCGGCAAGACGAAGAGAAGAAGAGACAAGCCGAGGAGAAGAGACAAGCAGAGGAGAAGAAGAAGCAAGAGGAAGAGAAGAAGAGACAAGACGAGGAGAGACGGAAGCAAGAAGAGGCGCAACGAGAGGCGCAACGGAAAGCTGAAGAAGCCAAGAAGAGACGCGAAGAGGACGAGCGAAGACAGACAGAGGAGCAACGAAGACAGGCAGAGGAAGAACGGAAGCGCGCAGAGGAACGAAAAAGGGTAGAAGAGCGGAAACGAGTCGAAGAAGAGAAGAGACGAAAAGACGAAGAGGAGAAGCGAATGAGAGACGAAGAGGAAAAGCGAATGAGAGACGAAGAGGAGAAGCGAAAGAGAGATGAGGAGGAGAAGAAACGGAAAGACGAAGAGGAGAGGAAGAGGAAAGACGAAGAAGACCGCAAGCGAGCATGGGAGGAGCTCAAACGCGCAGAGGAGGCGAGGCAGAAGCGGGAAGCGGAAGCCAAAGCTCAAGAGGAGGCAGCCAAGCAAGCTCGCGCCCAGGCAGAAAAGGAGAAGTGGGAGAAGATGCGCCACCGAGAACGAGAGCAGCGCGAGCGCGAGGCCAGAGAACGCATCGCAAAAGAACGTGCCAAGAAGCAACAGGAAATCCGAGAGAAGGAGGAAGCCGAACGCCTGGCCCGAGAGGCCGAAGCACGCGCGCAGATCGAGAAAGAGATTCGCGAGAAACTCGAAGCCGAGCAAAAGGCCAAAGCCGCAGAAGAAGCAGTACGAAGGGCGGCAGAAGTCAAGGCTGCCGCCGAAGCCGCCGCCGCAAAGGCAAAGGCAGAGGCAGAGGCTGCCGCAGCAAAGGCAAAGGTTGATGCTGAACGCGCCGAGCGCCTCAAAGCAGCCCGCGAGCGAGCCCAGAAAGACCGCGAAGCCCGTCTCAAGGTCGAAGCCGAGAAGATCAAAGCAGAGGCTGCAGCCGCAGTCCCGGACCTCACAGCAGGTAGACGGTCAACAACATACGGTGGCCTCGGCGGCGGTGAGAAACTCGATCCGTATGCTGGAGCGAGAAGCCCCCCGGCGCCCTCTGTGACGTCGACCCGTTCGATTCCCATCAAGGCAACAGTCTCGCCGAAGAAGCCCTACGAGAGGCCGTCGGCGAAGTCGTATATGGGCACCGACGACACGCATTCTTTCCGTCCATACGACACCCCGCAAGCGCGCTCCACCGCACGCTCGCAAGTCTCTTCCCAGTACTCTGAGTCGTCATACGCCCCTTCACAGTCCACCACCCACACAACGCCACCGCCATCACAGCGCGGTCCGTACTCGACAACTGACCCGAACAAGATCGTCATCAAGGCCGTGTATCTCTTCAACGACCTGTTCCCGAAGCCAGTGGCGCAGTTGGTGTCGAATGTAGGCAAGGTGACGGATGGCTTGATCCTGAAAATCCAGTCCGAGGGCTTGTTTATCGATGACGATGTGAGGAGTATTCCACAGCGCGAGTGGGACGTGAAGGCTTGGACGTTGAAGTTGGTCGAGGTATGTTTATCTTATCCCAACCTTGCTCTCTACATTCCTGCTTTTTGACTTGCATGCTGACCAATCATTAGACCGGCCAACAGCCCTCCAAACACCTCTATATCTTCCGCGCCTCGATCCGCGACGCCGACGGCAAGAAATACGTCTTCCTCATCGACGAAAGCGAGAGCTGGAAAGTCGCCATCGGACTGCAACGACTGCGCAAGGGCAGCCAAGTGCGTAGTATGCAGAACAGCCAGATGGCCCCGAACGAAGTGGCCAGAGTACTCAATTCCGTACCGCCTATTCAATAAACAATATAAAAGAGGACAATACAGATGCACACGTAGGAAGAGAAGAAGAGAGGTGGAAGGAACAAAGAGTCCTGATCGTTGTTGGTGTGCCAATCCATCTACCCGGAATGCTACTCGCTACCTGTCTCAGGACAACGCCACATTCCTCGCGAAACGAACCGCACAAATTACCCTTTCTACATATTCCGATCCGACTTTTGAGCAGAGCAGAGCAGAAAACAAAAAGCATTTATTCTCGCGAGCGAAGTCGAAAGCGAAAGATACCCTCGTTCATTTTTGAAATATAGACATGGCTCATCATAGCAAAGCATCAGCGAACGGAGTTTTCCTTTTTTTGCCTTCGTTTTGCTGTTGAGAGTTGGCTGTTGGAGACGTAACCGCATTTTTTCCTTCCTATTGTATATTTTCCCATTGTTGGGTGGGGTTTTTGTCTTGATGGTGTGGTGGTAGTTGGGTGGATGGATTGTGTTGCGTTGTATATACATGGGCGTGTTGGCGCGCTGGGTAGCTACCGATGGGGCTGAATGAAAGGCATTACATCGCATCACGTTGTATCAATATCGCGACGTCTTCTTCATAATGTGACGGAGTGTCGTTCAAGTGCTTGTGAGAAGAAAGTCAAGACTTTTATGTTCGAGCTAATAAGGTATAGTGACTACTTTCACACCAGCAATGGTCAAACACGCGTCTGCTACCCGCAAGGGATCTTTGCACTATTTCCACTGCATCTATACTGAAGTTTTAAAAGCACCTTTCGTAGAACACGACTCCCGCCTTTCCAGATCATGAACCCTCACCCTGTTCAAGTATCTTGCTCTTCACTCCACCTACTCCACTACGCCAGCTATCTATCCAGCGAGTAGCTAGCTCAGCAAGTCAACCTAACCTATTTTTTTTTATTTTTTTATAAAGTTTTATATAAATAATAAGATAAGGTATTACAAAATAGACACAAATAGTTTAAACTAGTAAATCCCCTCTACTAGTAAAAGAAAAAATATAAAAAGCGTAATAAAATATAAATATATATAAAAATATTAGTTTTATTTATTATAAGTAGTTAATGCTTAAGCTTAGTAAGTATAGCTTAGCTAAAAATTTAGTATACTAATACTATTTTAAAAATTAGCTTTTATTTTTTAATAATTTAGCTTTATTAAAAGTACTATTAACCCTGCCTTAAGCTAAGCTTAGTAAAAATACAATTATAAATTATTATTATTATTATTATTATTATTATTAAGCTTTTTAAAAGGCATTTTAAAAAGCTATAATTTTTTAAGCCTATAAGCAGCTACTTTATTTAAAAAATATTATTTATATTTTTTATTTACTACTACTACTACTACTACTATTTATTATTTATTGTTAACTGTAATATTATAAATATCTACTTTTAATAACTGCTATATTTTTATTTTAAATAAATTATTTTGTTTTTTATATTCTGCAATTTTCTAAACTAGTACTAGCATTAGCACTAGTACTAGTATTATTAAATTTTTTATTTTTAATAATTATTTTTATTAACTACTATAATAGTTTAAGAAAGCATATATTAATTAATTTAATATTACTAATATTTAAATTATTGCTATTAAAAATAGTAAGTACAAGGCTTATATAAATAGTATAAAAATTATTAATATTTATTTTTTTATTTATTTAGTACTACTTAAACACGCAATTTTAGGCAATACTATAATAGTAGTAATATTTAAATTTTTTTTTAAATAAATATGCTTGCAAAGCTAGCAGAAAAAAAAAAAAAAAATTAGTAAAAAAAAAGCAAAGTTTAAAGTTTACTTTTAAAAAAAAGCAAGTATAATTTAAATAGTAATAGTATTAAACTTAGCTATATTATTATAATAGAAAAATAAGAGCAGTACTATTATTATTAAAAAAATAAAAAAAACTATTGTATTATATTATAGCTGCTATTATTATTGCTATTAATGTATTATACAGGCGAGTTAGTTGCCTAGTTAAGTTAGTTACAATGCTAAGACTTTATTAAAATTAGTACTATGTATGACAGTACAGCACTATAAAAAACTATAGCAGTAAATTATAATAAATTAATTTATTTAAAAATTATTTTTATTTTTTGCTTGCATATTCGCGCGTTATGCCTAGCTTTACTATAATATTTATAGCATTTTTAAAAAAGCTTACCTGCCTTAGTATATACTTATTTTTTTATTTTTTTTT